TTCAGCCTAAGTAGCCACTCACTTTCGAAAGCTGGTGGCTTTCGAGCTGGGCAGCACAGCTTCGGGACGTCCCCTGGCACGAGAAAAGTTGTAGAAGCCAGCCCCGCTCCAGCCTGGCTCCTCCCCCGAGCCCCCGAGCGCCCCGGGCTGCCTCCCCTTCAATGACGGGCGGGGGAGCATGCGTGCTCGCGTGAGCCCAGCCTCGGAGGCTGCGGCAAGCGCCAGAGCGGCCGCCCCGTCACCGGGAGGCGTGCTCCCAGCCCCTTCTGAGTCACGCTGAGGGGCGCCTTCCCGGTGACAGCTCGTCTCCAGCGAAGGCGCCGGCAGGCTCCGCTCTCCCAGGCCGGAGGAGCCGGGCGTCGCGTTTGCTGGAGAGATGGCGGAGGTTGCCCAGGTAACGCCCCCTCCCTGATAAGCAGAGGGCGAGGACTGCAGTGGAGCTGCGGGCTCTGTGGTCTGGGGAGCTGCCGGGAGCCTTCCTCAGCCCTGCCTGCTCTGGGTCACTCACCCTCGGGACTCGGGCGATGAGAATTAGAGCTGATGCTCAGCCAGGAGCAGGGCTGAGTGTGTGTATATATCACCGTCTCACGGGCTGGGCACGGCAAGTTTCTGTAGTGGTCGCCGTCAGCTCACGCTGCAGATGAGGCAGCAAGGTGTCAGTAACAGACGGTAAGCTCCGGGAGCACCATGGTCTGCCTGCCTTGCTCCCCACGGGCAACCTTAGCACTTAACTCCGTGCTTGGCAGACCGTACTAGATGGTGCCCAGCAGTACTGCTGGCTGGTTGGAAAGATGGATAAGGCTTGGCTGGAGAGGGTGGATGGGTGGATGAATGGAGGAGTGAATAGGTGAACGGGTAGATGAAGCAGAGCTCGGATCTGAAGTCTGCTGATTGCAAAGCCTGCACTCCTGGTCGCGAAGCCATACTGCCTCTGACTTTGATACCCTCCACCTGCATGGGTGGGGATTTTTTTTTTTCTTATATACCTTAACTGAGGTGTAATGTACGTGGCATAAGATTAAAAAATTCACCTATTGTGAGTGAGTGATTCAGTAATAGTAGTAAATTTATAGCTGTGCAGCCATCACAATGCAGGTTTAGAATATTTCCATCATCTGCAAGACGTCCTCATATCTGTTCGCAGTTCTAACCCCTGTTGCCACCTCCCAACCCCAGGCACTTTGTGTCTCTATAAATTTGCCTCTTTCTAGACATTTCCTGTAAAAGGAGTCCTCCAGTATGTCTGTTGTGTCTGTCTCCTTTCACTTAGCATATTGGTAAGGTTCTTCTGTGTTGCAGCACATATGAGCCGTTCCATCCTTTTTACTGCCAACTACTATACCATTGTCCAGGGAGACCACTTCTTGCATCTCCATTCATCAGCTAGTGGACATCTGGGTTGAACAATGCTGCTCTGCACGTTCATGTATGTGTCTTTATGTAGAGTCTGTTTCTGTTTCTCTTGAGTAGATTTCTAGGAACAGACTTGCTAGGTCATATGATAAATGTATGTTTAACGACTTGAGAAACTGTCTAGCTGTTTCCCAGTGGTGCTGTACTGATGCAGTGCACAAGGGTCCCGCTGAATCCACACCCTCGCAGCACATGGTGGGACTTCTTGGCTCCCTCCAGCCTGATGGGTGCGGCGCAGCGTCTCTCTACGGTCGGAACCCACGTCCCCCTGATGGCCTCTCAGCTCGAGCTGCATATGCTCTGACTTCTCGGCTGGGTGGGCTTTTGACCCTTTCCAGCCTCCGGGTTAGCAAACTTTTTCTTGAAAGGGTCAGGTGGCAAATGTTTGGGGCTCTGCAGGCTGCATATGAGCCTGTGGCATATTCTTTTCTGTTCCCCGACCCCCAACCCTTTAAAAAAAAATGAGACCATTCTTGGCTTCCTTGCACAAAAACAAGCAGGGAGGCAGCTCTAAGGCTCCTGTCAAAGGAATCCCTCGGCCCATGCACTCGGGACACGTCAGGAAGTCGCCCACCCCTCTGGTGAAGCGAGCTCGGTGGAGGGGTCCCCACGCAGCAGAGCCGAGGGCCCGGCTGCGGGGAGCCTGGGGGGTCTGGGTTCCAGAGACGGCCCCAGCCCAGTCCCGCCATGATTCATCACCACATGAGCTCATCAGACTGGCTCCTGGGATGAAACGTGCCATTTTGTCACCCAAGGCGGAGCAACCAGGCCCCTGATCCTACCTCCGCCCTGCGGCTGTGCCCTGCTAGGGCTCAGAGCCCCTTCCGGGAACCGGCTGCCTGTCCACACCCTGTAACCGCTGCTGTCACAGCCGCCCTGCCCACGGCTGCTCCTACGGCCCCCAGAGCCCAGGAGATGTGTCCCAGGCCCCGAACCATTCCTGATGGCCTTCCTGACTGTGCCTCTAGTGAACCACCTGCGCTGGCCCTACGGTGTGATAAGACACTTCTCTGGTAGCTCAGAGCCGGTTCGTACTTGTGAATCTGCCCCTCTCTAGCTGTGTGACCTGATGTGAGTCATGTCGCCTCCTGGCTGCAGTAGCCACGTGTGTCAAGGGGCTGCCAGAGCCCAAGGTGGAGGCGGCAGGCCCCCGCTTCTCGGCCTCTCCCTCCCTGAAGGCCGCTCCCTGTAAGCCTGGGCGACCCCCCCAGGGACATGTCTACAGGAGCACCCTGGCCTGGGCACAGGGCAGCCAGGAGCCCAGGAAGCTGGTGGTAGCAGCCACTGGTGGGGCGCTTGGCTGGGTTGGCTCCAGGGCGTGATCTGCCCTGGCCGTCTCGTCCCCGCGGGGCTGGCGGTGCCAGCTGCCTGGTCCTAACGCTTCACGACGCCCTGGCGACTTGCTGCCCGCTCCTCCCAGCCCCACTCCCTACCTTCTCTCCTGCGTTCTCTATCACCTGCCAGTAAATAACGCATCTGCCCCGGGTGCTTGTCTGAGGCCCTGCTCCCAGGGCTCCTGGCAGGTCCCCGGCTCCTGGGGTGAGCGGGAGGATGGCACAAGCTGACTCCTGGGAGCGCCCTGCACGGTGCCCGGTGGGCCGCAGTGCGTGCTCGGCAAACGTCAGCCCTCGTCAGCCCCTGGGAACTTCCAGCGGGGACGCCTCTCAGGCAGGGGCCCGTGGGAAAGCTGTCGTCCCCCCCGGTCTGTTGAGGGGGCTGTGTCTGTGAGCCCGAGGCTGGGCGTGCCTCGGAGGGGGCTTGTGGGAAGCTGGGGCACCCAGAGGGCCCTCTCCCTGGGCCATGTGTCCCGGAGTCTCGGCGACGTCCAGGTGTAGGTACCCGGGGAGGAGGGACCACACTCAACGGCCACCAACCCCCATGGGCCAAGTCTAAAGGAGAGCTGGCTGAAACAGCGTTCACCGAAGATTAATGATGGCTATTTCTAGGTGGTGGGATCTCTGAGGCCCTTTTTTCATTGACCCTTTCCTCTGTGTTTTTCAGCACAGTTTACATTTCTCACAGTGAGCATGCCCCTGTTTCTTCCAGCCCTGGTAGGGTCTAAGATGACTGACAAGTAAATGTCTCCACGCTGTTCAGTACCCCACTTGAGGAAACCTGTGCTGTCTTCTCTGCAGCAGCTGGGGGTGGAGAGTTGAGGGAGGTGGGGGAGGTGGAGGGTGTGTGGAGAGAGAGGGAGGGAAGGAGACGGCTTTACTTGAGAGGGCTGGGACGAAGACTGGGAGGTCCTCCCAGGTGTGAGGTGCTGATGGGCGTGATTAGCAAGGAAGAGGCTCCAGAACACCGCGGAGGGTGAGGGGGGAGAAGGAACATCAGGATGCTGTAACGTCTGGATCACAGTGGCTCCTGTTTCATCCCTTTCTAGTTTCTGGGGAGACCAGCCGAGTGTCTGAGTTCCCTCTCTGTTCCTTGGTTGTGCTTCTTGGACTGTGCTTCTGAGCACAACCCCGTCCAGAGAGGTGACTGCGCGGTTCCAGGGTTTGTAAGGCTCACACAGTGGACGAGGCCACAGGCCTTTTTCATGCATAATTTATAGAAGCGGAAACCGAGGCTTAGGAGGTGGAATGCTTTATGGGAAGAACCGGGTCTGATTCCACAGTTCTGCCTGGGGGTTTCCACCATGATGCCTCCCTCAGCACCCTGAGCTACTTGGTCCCATGTGGACTTTGTCCCCCAGATGTTCCGTTCTAGGCCTTGGGGTCCAAGACCCTTCATCCTTCTTAATTCAGAAACCCAGTGGTTGGGGGGATGCTGGAGGCCTGCGAGCTCGTCTCTGGGCCTCGGGCCAGGATGAGACCCTCTCCGCCTCCTCCCCTCGTTCAGACTTTGGCTTGGAGGCTGTGACGTGTCACCCAGCTGGCTGCTGGCTCCGTGACTTTAAAATTAGGTTTTCCCCAGGGAGCGGGGCACTTAATGAAGGAGTTTATCCAGTTAGAAAGAGAGGCTCCCAGGCAAGCCGGGCGGCAGCGAGGCAGGCAGCTGCTGGGACCGCGGCCTTCGGAGAGGGCTTCTGTTTCCATGATGTCAGAGGGCGGAACCAGCCCGGCCCCTGCTCCAGCCGCTCCCCAGCTCTGGGTGCAGAGGCGAGAAGGCCCTGTCTTACTCCCCACGTGCAGTCTGAGGACCACTCTGGGCTCAGTCTCTGCCTGGCTGGAGCTGAATTCCAGGCCCTGAGCCTGTCTGTCTGGTTTCCCAGCTGCTCACACTCTCCAGGCGGCCTCGAAGGACCAGGGTGAGCAGAAACATTGCCTCCAACACAAAGAAAGTACCTTCCTGCTCTGATTGCATTAGAATACTTGGGGAATGAGTTTGGCACAAGATGCAGTTCGAAGGATAACTATCTTCATCCTTTTCAAAAGGTCACTGGAAGCAGGGTAGAAATGACTCTCCTAGTGGTCAGGAGGCCTGGCTGTCTGCAGCTGCAGCCTTCGACTTGGGGCAAGACTCTGTTCTTCCCGGATGGGATTCTGATGGGGAGGGAGGGAGGCGTCCACCCTGAAGCAGTGGAGTCACCGATCGTGTTGTATATTTCGATCACCCACGTGGGTCTCTTTCTGTCTCCCAATCAGAAAAAGATTTACAAATACAAGAAAGTCCTGAGTAACCCGAGCCGTTGGGAGGTCGTCCTGAAGGAGATTCGGACGCTGGTGGACATGGCTCTGACATCCCCTCTGCAGGACGATTCCATCAACCAGGCCCCACTGGAAATCGTCTCAAAACTGCTCTCAGAGGTAAGGCCGCCCCTTGGCCTGATCTGGCTCTGCGCCACCTGCCCCCACCCCAGCCCCCTCCAACACTTTGAAGTTTTATTTCTTTACGGGGTCCTCTGAGCTCCACCCTGTGCCAAGCGGCAGATGGAATTCGAGTTTGTGTTGTTTCCCCATCATGGGAGTAGGTGAGTTGTCCCCCAGTGGCACAAGGGAGCTGAGAAGGAGGTCAGGTCGAGGGGAGAGTGGTTGTCACCCCACCGTGCTCCAGGACCTGCTTTGGGCAGGACCTGGCAGGTGCTGGCCTGGACCTGAGCTGTGCTGGCGGCGGTGGTGATGGCAGCTGCTGTCAGAATCCTCTAGTTCATCCCGGGTGGGAGCGCATCTGTGAAGCCCCCAGACCGCCCTTCCTCTACCCCCGGCACTGGCCGCCTCCGTCTCCCCCCAACCTGAGCACTGGGGTTCTGGGCAGATGTGGCTTCCTGCTCTCTTCGGCACCCACAGCCCACAGCCACACTCTGTTTAGCTCGCACAGGGTTTTAAAAATCAAGAGGCTTCACTACAAAGTAGGACTTTGCAGGTTCTCTTTAGAAACAATCAGAACGCCTAGCAGCAGTTGGCAGCTGGCTGCTCAGCGCCACCCAGCTGAGCCTCCGGCTTCGCCAGGCAGCCCCAGGCTGTGAGCATGTGCCATGTGCCAGGCGCGGCCCCTGGCTCCTGGATAAAGGCGGTCTCCTCCCTCTTGGGGCAGGAAAGACGGTGGGATGTGAGGCTTGATCTTAGTCGGCTAAGCTGCTCGATGGAGGGCGAGGGGCGCCCGGGAGCATCTCACCATTTCCTCTGTCCCAGTGCTATTCTGAGCGCTTCACAGAGGTCGATACTGCCCTCATTCATTTGCTCCCTGGCCCCCAAGGGACCCTGGGGTTGATGACTCCTGGTCTCAGCTATGCATGGCCACCAGAGTGGTCTCTCTCTCCCTCTCCCCTAGGAGTGGCCCCGGTTCCCTGGGTGGTTCCTTCACCCCATCTCAGACCCTGCACAAGGTCCCTGCTACCTAGAACCTCCGTCCTGTCACAGACGCAGGCTGGTTGCTGCCCATTGGTTCAGAAAACTGGCCCAGGCCTTCCACATCTGCTGAAGAGAGAGGGTCCTGCACCCTGGGGGGAGGTGGGGGCGGGCGGTGAAAGGTGCATGGCAGAGATGGCTGTGGGCAGAGGGTGTGACCATTCTCAGGTGGGAGACCAGCCTCGTCCCATGGGAGCATCAAGACTCCGGCTCTGAAACAGATCAGTCATGGTCTGGGATGTGAGGCTGGCCGCCATCGGCCCAGCCTTGAGTCCAGCTCCTAGCCTGAGCAGGTGGGGCTGGTCAGCAGGCCTGGGCTGGTTTCTCATGGGAGACAGCAGGGCAGCTCATCCTCAGGATGCACCTCTCATGTTCCAGGTGGGCTTCAGGCACACAGCATTTCCCGAGAGAAGGGCCTCGCTGCCTCCATTTCACAGATGGGGAAACCGAGGCCCAGTGATACCGTGTGACCTGTTGAGTAAGCGGTGGGGCTGGAAATTCCACCCCGAAGGGCGGCCTGGCCCCCACCACACAGTCATTCTGACCACTTTGTTGGCCCCACCAGTCTCAGCCACCATCTCTAAGTCAGGCTCGTGGTCAGTGTGGTGGGGACAGCGGCAGGTGACCCCATGGCCAGCCTCTGCTGGGACTTCCTGCCCATCTCAGATGTGGTTTCACGTGGCCACGGGGTCACGAACTTCACATCACTTCTCAGGCTTTAGATCAAGGGACTCAGAGTCAGCTGATCCCAAGTGCTAGGATAGAGAAACGAAGGCATTTAAAGAAACAAAAATGGGAGAAGCTTGTATCTGCTCTGCACCTGCTGGGTGTCAGACAGGCAGGGGGCCCATATTGTCCCCGATGTATTGATGAGTGCGGCCGTTGGCAAGGGACAGAGCCGGGGCTGCAGCCCAGGCGGTATCCCCTCCAGTGAGATTCACGCCTCTGCCAGTGACACTGAGGTTCTCTGAGCACGTGCCCTGTGAGGATCAGGGTGGCAGGCATTTACCCCAGCCCCTTTACATTTCTCCCCGGGACCCTGCTTGGGAAGCACACGGAATCGCAAATGGAGGCTCTGCGGGGTTAGGTCGGCTGCCCAGGGTCACTTGGATGAGGGGTGGGCAGGACCCAGGCCCAGGTCTGCCCCACTGCGAGGCTGATGGGATGTTACCTGAACTGGTGGGGACTTTGGTGAGCCAGGGACCAGGCCCCTAGAGCTGCAGTGTGCAGAGTCGGCAAGTCATGGTTCTACCCACAGGAGCTCACGGGCCTTACACAAGGAGCTAGGTCTCTCAGTGGGTTGACCTGAGATTAGCTCCTGTTTCCTAGTTAGGGATTGGGTGTCCTCAAGTGTATACAGAGCCTGGCTCTGTGCCTGATATACGGGGACCAGTTGATAAATGCTCACATTTCTGTCATGGTGGGAGATGGCTGTGAACTTGACCTTTAGCACTGTCAGCTGGATACGTAGAGGGGATGGCTGGAAAAGCAAGCGCTCGCCACTCCTTGCCCTTTTTTGTTTAGAGCATATGGACTAGATTCTTTGTTCTCTTTACTCAAGTTGCTGCCCAAGCCTCCTCCTCTTAAGAGGCTCCAGGCATCATCACCAAATTGGCCTAAAAGTGGGCAGGATCCTGAGAAGGGAGAAGGAGGACAGGCCTGTGAAAGCCAGCATCCCCCGCCTCCCAGGCTTTTGTTGGGTTGAATGTGTGGAGGGGCCACTCTGTGTGGCATGCAAGTGTCCCCTTCAACGCAGTGGCTGTTAGTGAGCGCTCCCCATCCAGGGTCAGGAGGGGCCTCAGTGGAGAGAAGGCTCCCTGAGAAGGGCACGGGCTGTCACCGGCAGCGGGGACCAAAGAGACACACCCGTGCCTGCTGGAGACTCTCACTGGAACTGTGCGTGGGGCAGTGAGGCCCGGTGGTCCCTTCGGCGTGCCCACGGCAGCCCGAAAGGGGAACTGGCCCTCGTGTGGCCCGAGCCCCCAGCTCAGTGGTAGGAGGTGGGAGCTCAGGGACAGGGCAGACGGGGGTCACAGCCCCACTCCACCCCGTCATCCCTGCTGCTGGGCGAGCCCCTGGCTATAGAACCTGTCACAGGTGCAGGAAGCAGGTGGAAGGAGTGTAGCGGAGCCCCGACACAGTGCCTGAAGCGTGGTGAGCAGAGCAGCGAAAGCCAGGCTTTTTACCTGCCCTTGGCTGAGAAACGGCCGGAGGCTAAAAATCTGCCATCCACGGCTGCTCAGACGCCACCCACGTCCACAGAAAGAAAAGGTGTTAGAGTCCAAGCAGCTTCCCCCCCAACACGGTCTGGACCCTGGGCACAGGGGTCGGGCGGTCGCCGTGGGGACCGGGATGCTCCCGGCGCTCACCCCGCCTCCCTCGGCGGCCAGCTGCCTGGACCAAAGCAGAAGGATAGCTCCCTCGCTTTTCCTTTGCTTTGGCTGGTGTAAACGCATTGGATACCAGACACTCCTTAAACCTGTTCAGCCCGTGGGGCTCCTTCCAGAATCCAGGGACCGTGTCAGTCTTGCCATTTACTGCACAGTGAGGAGTTTGCGTTATGAACACCTGTTTGAAAGAAAGAGTTGACACCAGTGAAAGTCTGCATCCACGGAGACGCTCAGAGCAGAACACACCAGGATGCTAGCGAAACAGACGAGGCTCTGCTTGGGTTTTCTCACTGTCTCTTGTTTATTGCATATCTGTCCCTTTCCTCATTCACATCCTCATTCTTATACACAGGATGATGGTCACAGGTACCAGTTGTGTAAGAAAATTCCAGATGGGGAGGAGAGTAAAAAAAAAAACCCTAAAAATCTAGCAAGTTTAATCCATTCTACTTAATACTTTTGCAGGTTAGTTGCTAGAATTTTAACATAGCTAAACCATCTTGGGCCAACATCATGGAACACTCGTGTTCCTTGGGATCCCCTGAAATACTTCTCAAAGACTGGCTGACAGAGAGTCAAGACCCAAAAGTGTCGTTTTACGTGTTTATCACGCACCTGCCTCCAGGCTTCCAGGTGGCGTGTGTCGCCATGAGAAGGGCCAAGCTCGGGTTTAAGCCCGAAGTGGACCCCATCTATGAACGAAGAGACCGTCTCACTGAGGATTGACTCGTCCGAGGGCGTGTCAGTCCACTGGTGAAACAGGGGCTTGGAACTCTCTTCTCTCTGCCCCAAGGCTGTGCGTCCTCCCACCCCCCACTTCCCGACTGTGACTTTGATCGGCTTCTGATCTATTTAATTAAGAAAAAGTGACAACCGTCCTCTGTCCGAGAGGCTGAAAGCGGTTTTGAAGCCGTGTGGACCTTTGAGATACCAGTGTTCCATCTTACTAACCGTGTGTTTTGTTCTGTTTTCCTCCCGCTCTCCCTGCTCGCCCTTCAGAACACAAACTTGACCACCCAGGAGCACGAGAACATCATCGTGGTAAGTCCCGGGCGGCCCCCTCCCTCGCCCCCTCCCGTGCCCGCAGCCCTCCCCGGGTTTGAGTGAATTCCTCAAGCACCAGCGTCATCTACCAGCACTGCGGCCTTGCTCAGGTTTGTCCCTTCCGTCAGGCCAGACATGCCTCCCTCCTGTCTTTGCACATGTCAGAGCCCCAGCTGATGGGAGGGGGTGGTAATTATCAGTCTCTGAGGCTTGTAGCAAATGTGTCTTAATCGCCTCCTCCTTCCTGAGTCTGCTGTGCAGAGTCAGAGGCAGGAGATGGCAGAGACCATATAATGTATTCTCAGCCATAACCCCATTAACTGAAAGGTAAACTTGCTCTTTCTTGCCCCAGGACCTGTCTCCTAATTAATCCACACACAGAGCCTGGATTTAATTCCCTCTGATGTGCAAAGTGAGGGATAGTCTCTGGGACTTGACTATGACTGTAAGCGTGTTTGAGGTGAAACATCCTTCCTGGGTGATTCTAAACTATGAAGTGTGACTCTCACCAGAGAGAAGAAGGAAAAGAAGTTGCCCCTTCTGGGCACCAGGCCCTGTGCTGTGTGTTTGAATTCATGGATAATGAAGACAGCCCCTGCTCCCAAGGAGTCCTTCATCTATTAAATGAGATCATTGCAAAGATAGAGGCTTGTGATCTGGAGAGTGGAGTGGTGAACTCACCTAGGAAAGAAGCCAGAGAGCTTCCCAGAGGCAGTGAGGTTCTGGGCTGGGTTTTGAAGGATCAATAGGAGTGTGCCAGATGGGGGAAATAGAGGAAAGTCTTTCTAGAGAGAGAAAACAAAGTGTGCACAGAGATTTTAAGCTACACGGGGTATTCTGGACGCTTCAGCTTTGCTGGAGCCTGAAACGTTAAGGCAGTGGAAGCAGGAAGGCAGAACTTGAAATGGAAGCGAGAGGCAGAGCTCTGTGTGCCTGGGAACGGGTCTGGAGCATTCGGCTCCCCGGAGGTCCCGTGGGTACAGCCTCTGACACAGGGCAGCATCCCAGACACCATGCCCCTTTGAATTGCGTTTTAATCACGGGGTGTAAAGGCCGCAGCTTCTGTGGAGCCCCCACCGCAGAGTCACTCACCGCAGCTGCTCGCTGTGTGTCTGCTCAGAATGTAGAGGTTTTCCCCACGCTCTGTCCTGGCCACCCCTCACCTTCTCTTGCTAGAACAGGGGCAGCATTGACCTGGGCCTCCCCACCACCTCGTTTCTCTGGCATGCTATCAATTAATAATGTAACATAACAGACATCTGTTGACCCGTGAGGACAAGCATGTGCCGATGCTGGTCTCTGTTCCGCCGACAGAGCTGCCATTGAGGGGTTACTGTGTGCTGGGGGAGCCTGGCAGATAATCCAGAAATCACGCGGTCTGGGCTGGAGATGCATCCAGGGAGTTGGGGAGCACAGAGGGACTGGGAGGAAGATGACGGAGGGCTTCAAGGAGGAGGTGAGGGGGCTGGCGTCCTAACGAGGGGATAGGAGGCTCCAGGGCACAGCCGTCCAGGGAGCCCAGCAGAGGCAGAGGCAAAGAGGCCCTGTCTGTTGAAGCAGGCGGCGGCCGAGCAAGGCGCTGGCGTCTTTCCCTCCCGGCTGGCGGCACCCGGGTCCCACTCTGCACCTTGTCTCCCGAAGCGGGGTCAGGGCCTTGGACTTGGGAGGAGCCTGGGAAAGGAATTTTGATCTGAGAAATCCGGGCTGCGTTTATCCAGCTAATTTGGCTGGGCTGACCTCTTAATTGCACTGGGCTGAGTTTCCCTGCTCAGCGGGGAAGCCTGAGAACGGGAAAGAATGTGATCCCGAGGTCTGACCCCCAGCCCCCCGTTTTGCAGCCTCACCCGCGTTCCGTGTTCTCTGTGACCAGTGCTGTTAAAATGAGCACACGGCCTCTGTTGCCTTCGTCCACTCCAGCAGTTACATTATCTGATCTGACTTGTTGACTGTCTTCTCCCAACAGGAATTGGTATTAGATTTGTTTTTTTTTTTTTAATGTACTTAGTTTTCCGAAATACTTTCACAAGTAATTTGAGTTGGTTTTATTCAGCCCATCAGTCAGGCATCAGTGCTGTGGGTCATTGTTGGCCAGTAGCAGCTGGCCTGTTATGGGACAAGCGTGGACCTGGGGTCCAGACCCTGGCAGGGCTCCCACGTGCTGGTGAAGAGCGTGGGCTTAAAGCTGAGTATGGTTCGAGTTCAGAGGCGAGTGATTCTGGGCCAACGTCATACCAGCTGAGACCTTGGGCAAATAATGAAGAGCTTTTAATTTTACTTAAAATATCTTTAAGATATTCTTTACTTTTATAAGAATTTCATGAGTATATTTTTAAAAACAAAAAAGAAAAGATTTCAACCCATCCTAGCCCTGGGGCATCTCAGGGGGTGATAAACCCATACAGAGAGATACGGTTGTGTATTTATATTTCGTTTTTAACATTAATGATGTGAAGCTGAATGTGTTGTTCTGTGTTTGGTTTGTTTACTTGACAACATGTCTTGGAGATTCTCTTAAGCCCTTTCTTGCACGTCTGACCTGGGGTGTCTTGCCCTCAGCACTAGTGACGTATGTGCATGGATGGCTCTTCGTAATGGGGGCTGTCCCGCCCATTGTAGGACATCACAGCGTCACTGGCCGCGACCCCGAGTGCCAGTCACATCCCCCTGTCATGACAATCAGACTGTCTCCAGACATGCTAGTGCCCCCTGGGAGGGGGGCAGAGCAACCCCCGGGGGAGAACCCCGGTCTGCCCTGTACTCCATTCAGCTACCTTGACACTCTAAGCCTCAGCCTTCTCATCTGTGAAATGGGTGTGAGCACAGTGCCTTTCCTGCAGGGCTGCTGGAACAATTAACTGGGAAAGATTCCACAAGAAACACCCTCTTTTTTTAATAATATGATCTAAAATGCTCACTACTCCATGACTGGGGCAGGGCTTGTAACAGCCTCCCCGCCTGTCTGTCTCTTCACCTATGCGAGTGGAAATCACTCCTGTTTGACCTCACAGAGTTGTCATGAGGCTCAAATGAGATAATAGCCATGGGAGCGTGGAGCCCCCGCCTGACACGCACTGTGGATGCTTAATCTGTTCCCACTCCTTCATTCTTTGCCTCATTCCTGTGAAGGGGGGGCCCAGCCTGATGGAAGGGGCTGGAGCCAGGGGGCTCCATCCTGCCTCAGGGTCCCCCCTCCCAGAGACCAGAGCGGGCAGCGGGGCTGAGGGCCAGGCCAGGACTCGAGGGCTGGGGGAGGCCCCGGCCCCTGCCCCTGCTGTATCCGGCCTCTCCCGTGGTCACCCGCATGGGGAAGCGGAGCATCCCTGTCCAGCGGGCTGGGCACTGAGCTTCTGAAAACGAGGTGCGGAGCCCAAACTGTGGGCCTGGCTTACTTGGGGTCTCTCACTGCCCCCTTTTCCCTTCTCTGGCGCTGTCTCCAGACGGCTTGCCTGTATCCCGGTCCTGTGGAGCGCTCAGGCTGAGAAGTTGGCTGGTGAATAGCTCAGGTCCTTGGGTCACATTTGAGGGTTCAAATCTGGCTCTAGCACCTCCTAACCATGTGACCCTGGGCCGCAGACTTCACCTCTCTAAGGAAAGGGCAGGACGCACACCCGCCTCCCAGCGTGTAGTGAAGAGTGGGTGACGGGACACAGCCCAGAGCCCAGCACAGACAGGCGCCCCGTTACAGCAGCGGCTACTGTGATGTTGCTCATGGTGTGCTGGTATTATCACCAGTTCAGTGATTGGTACACGTGGCTGTGGGGGACGCCACGAGGGTGGTGGGCTCAGCCTCGCGGTCGGCTTGGAGCCCACCACCCCCTTCCCACACCGTGGGGAGAGCTTCCCGTGGTGATGGGCATGCCTTCTGCCTGCCCTGTACACGGTGGTGGCCGCTAGCTTCGTGGCACTGGTGAGCGCTTGAAATGTGTTTAGCACAACTGAGGAACTGTACTTTTATTGCCTTGAAATTATTTTCTTGGGGCTTCCCTGGCAGTCCAGTGGTGGTTAGAACTCTGCTTCTGCTGCAGGTTTGATCACTGGTTGGGGAACTAAGATCCTGTAAGCCACATGGCATGGCTAAAAAAAAAAAAGGTTTTCTCCCGTGTCACTTAAAATGGTAAGATTCACAGGTGGCCAGTGGCTACTCTATTGAACAGCACAGCCCCAGGCAAGTAAAACCCTGGGCCCCCTCTCCGCCTGTGGGTCAGCCTGCCCGTTGCCACTGTGAACAGAGCCTCGTCTCCATGGCTTCGTCTTCCACTGAGGTGCTCACGTAACTGGCCTTGTCTGCCCAGACAGCGACCGGGAGGTCGTGCTTTCCACTGTGAATCAACCCTCGTGTGTTGACACACCCCCTGCGATTCCTTCCGAGGGATTCCGACTGACGTGTGTTCCTCTTCTTCCAGGCAATCGCTCCTTTGCTGGAAAACAACCATCCACCACCCGATCTCTGTGAATTCTTCTGCAAGGTATGGCATCGCTGAAGCGGTTCTGTTTGCAGGAAGTAGCCTGTCTCCGTGTGTGCGTTGCGGGGGTTGGTTTTGCAAAATTTCCTGAAAACCCAAACTCAGACTCCTCCCTGAACAGATCAGGGCCCCAGACAGAGTCAGAGACGAGCCAGGCCCCCGTCTCCGCTACACGGGTAGTAAGTGAGGCCCAGGGTCCAGACCAACAGGTTGAGGGGAGCACTGAGCTTTTCCTGGGAGTATCTTCCTGGCCGTCTTGAGAGAAGTTTGCAGCACATCTTCTGGCTCCTGACATCAGAGCTGGGCTTTTATTAGCCAGGGCTCCTGTGAGCACTAGCCGGCCCACAGTGGGAGCATGGCCATGGGACTCCCTCAGCTGGGCAAGCGTTGGGGGTTTGGGGGTGCAGGTGAGCTTGGAGGAGCCTCGGAGCAGGATCTCTGCTCCCAGGGATCCAGCGTCAGCCTCGCGGTGGGAATTCACACAGAGTACGCCCAGAGCACGTCGGGACCAGTCATCCTTCACTCGAGACTGCACCTCAGCGACTTGGGGGCTGGACCAGCAGGCAGTCCTGCTTGGTCCCTTGCCGGGTGACTTTTTAACTCAATGATCTGATGTCCTTGGACAGTCGCTGGGCCTGGGTTTGCTGCTCGTCCAGCTCCCCTGGTCTTCCTCCTGCCGACCCCCTTCCCCGAGTTCTTGGGTGTGTGGTCTGTATGCACCAGTGAGACAGGTGCAGCGTGGCCAGACGGGCACTGAGGGCACGCTAGTTCTTAAGATCTGGGGAGAGTTTATTTATCAAGGATTGTCCAGGAAAGCCCTGGGTTCTCATATCCCAAGTCCAGGCTCTCTGGAAATAGCGCCTTCAGGCCCCGGCAGGTTTAAATGTGTTGGAGCAGTGGGTCCCATCTGCTCCACCTGAGGGCCTTCAATTTCATTTTGAAAAACAAAACCCCATGCCAGTGAGATAAATACGCCAAGAGCCACGTGTGCCCTGCATATGGCAGCGAGCTTACTGTTAAAGCCCTCGACTAAAAAGTCACAGAATTTTTGAGATTCTCATGTCCAAACACCAGCCTCCAGTTTTCAAGAGACTCTTCCCATTGGACCTTCGTGCTACAGAAATCTCACCCTGTTAAATAGGACTGTGTGATAGGACTGTCCTGTTAAATAGGATTGTCTGTATCACCGGAAACAACTGCAGACTGTCAGATCAAAACAGAGAGCAAGCAGGAGGTCCCATCCCTACCCACTTCTCTTACTCTCCCCAAAGGGAACAGAAAGCCATACAGCAGTGTGGAGCAGGGGGTCCCAGGCAGCAGAGCTGGGCCCCCCCGCCTCCCCCACACACCGTGGTCAGGGCTTCTGGGGGCCCCAGCTGGACCCCGCCTGGTTCGACCCTGACTGTGCCCTGCTATCTCCCCAGCACTGCAGAGAGCGGCCCCGGTCCATGGTGGTCATCGAAGTGTTCACCCCCGTGGTCCAGAGAATCCTGAAGCATAACATGGTGAGTTGCCCCGGGCCCCCCACCGCAGAGCCCGCTGAAGGCCACGAGCTTCCAGTCTGTCACTTTTCCCAAAAATCTGGGGGATGGGGCTAGCAGCCAAGGGCCAGAGGACTGGACTTGGGATTGCCAGTTGGGGTCTGCATGCAGCCTGTCCTGCTCGGCTGTATGCTTTACAGATAAAAGGCGGCAGGAAGAATCTTTGCACAGTAAGAATGACAAAAATAACATGGTTTGGGGAGAAGAGATAGGTCTCGTGTGTATAGCATCACAGATAATACCTGTGGAACCTTGGCCCTCGAGGAGGGGGCGTGAACCCCTCACTGCGTAGGAGGGCTGCCGATGGCAGTGTCCCTGGAAGCGGGGAGCAGGGCCGTGCGGTGCAGGCCCTGACGGTCGTGACCTCAGCCAGCTGGGCGAGGTCAAGGTCAACAGTGAGAAGTCAGAGTGTGGCAGGCAGCCTTTGTGATGTGAGCAGGAGGGCCCCGGCCCACAGGGGTCTTCTCTCTCCAACCCTCTGCCTCGGTCTGATCGTGAGAAAAGCCTCAGACCAGTCCCAGCTGAGGAGCGTTCCACACGACGGTCCTCCAAACGGCCACGTGCTCAAACACAAGGAGAGTCCGAGAGGCGGTCACAACCTCGAGGCCCCAAGGGACCTGACGACTCAGTGTCACAGGTGTTCAGGAGGGGATCCCAGGACAGGAAAAGGGCGTGCATGAAACGCGAGGAGATCCGCGTTGAGTCTGCCCTGTAGTCAATTTTAAAAGCACAGAGGCAGCATTTCACTGCACACTCAGTGGTCCAGGCTCCCGTAACCCGCCAGCCCGTCTGCAGTCTCGCCTCAGTCCAGTGGGAACAGCCCTGGATGTGGTCGTTTTCTCTGCATTGCACGTGGGGAAACTGGGGCTGAGCAGCCTTGGCCGACTGGTCCCAGGACCACAGCTGGGAACCGGATCAAGTAACACCTGCATGCAGGTGCCCATGGAGCACCCCTCGGAGCCGGGTGATGCTCCAGAGTCCTGTGGGTCACTCTGGGACCCTGTGGGCAGGTGTGGAAACAGCTCTGAAGAAGGGTGACCTGCTCACAGTTTGATCTGGGAGGGCGCTTTCCTGCCTTGACACCAGGCCCCCAGAGAGGAAGATGCAGCCCACCCCCTTCCACAGTCAGGGTGGAAACACAGGACACGTGCGCCACGCGCCCCCGTCCCACACCCAGGGCAGACATCCTTAGTCGATCACAGCAGTCGTCCTGCGGAGCCCAGAGTAGCGTCGGAATCTTCCTCCAGGCAGCCATGAGCATGAGCCCATGCTGGTGCTGTGTGAATTCTCTCCGACTGACCGATCGCACACCGCCGTTGAACTGTCGCTTGTTTCAGAGCCCTCCTCTGTGGTTTGAGATGAACATGTTTTTCTTGTTTTTGGAACACAGCGGGTGGGTACCCTCCATCCAGTTTTGTCTCCAGGACTAAGAAAGAAACTCTGCTGGGGGGTGGGGGGTGAGAGGTGTTCTGCCTGATTGGGGCTTTAATCACTTCAAGGGCACTCTCCGGCTTCAGCCACCTGGGAGAAAAGGGTCCCTGACTGTTAACTTTAAAGTCACCGTGGATGTGGCGTGAAGTGAGGGCCACGCTGTCTCGGAGCCCAGAGCAAAGGTGCTGGAGTTCCTTTGGCAAAGGACCTCATCTCATCGCACTTGTCAGGGACAGAGCCACCCCCCCAGGGCGTCCCTGGCCAGGGTCCACCCTCCTCAGGTACAGAAGCACTTAATTACAGTTCTCTTAGGACGTCTGACTTCACAGGGGAAAACGTCAAAATTCAGGCAGCCTCCCAAGGCTTGACCATATAGCATCTCCCTTATGTCTGGTTAGTTTTATGGGCCTGGAGTGTTGACCATGTAATTTTCTGGATAAAAATCAGAACAACTACAGGGCAGACTCAGAATTTATAGCATCTGTTGTGGTCTGGCAGAGCCCGGGATCCCTCAGGCAAGAGCCCTCTCTTCATGTTTATAGAACTTACCCCCTGTGGTCCCAGCGTCCAGGGATGCGGTAAAGCTTCACAGTCCTGCTCGCTCTTGAAGTCTGCTGATTACACGCCGAACTATGTGAGGAGAGCTGTAGGCAGGACCGGGTCGGGAGTGAGGCCCTCCTGCAGGAGAGACCAATGTGACTGTGGCTCACGCCCCATGTGGGAAGCTCCACGAGCCTTTGGTGTCACCCCCGTAACACCCCCTAAAGCTCAGTGATCAGCCAGGACACCGTTTGGGAGCTGGCATGGAGGGCCTGGTCACTCACTGGCCAGCGCATGTGCCTAGCTGGCCGCCAGCCATGGACCTGTTAGCACAGTGTGAACCCTGACGGCTCTTCACCCCATGCGCAGTGTCTCTGATTCAGGGGGCACTGGAGCGCTGGGGAAGTGGGGTGGGTCACATACCCACACACACACCTGCCCCATGGTGCTTTGGGATTCCTAGTCTGCGATTCCTATACTGCGAGTATATCACGTGTCCCATCTCAGGGATGAGCAGACCAAACCCAGGTTAAGAATCTCAAAGAATGTTACTCCTGGGCCGCAATAAAAATTAGATATGGAAGCAGTTGTTAAGTGTGTTCCCCTGGAGATTCTAAACGGTGTGTTCATTGCATCCCTAAGAATGATCACAATCCCTGTGCCTACATGCCACTTACTAGCATGTTCTTGTAGACACGGTGGCAGGAGGATGTGGCCATGGTCCTAGTGGACCGCTGGCTGATCTGACCTCCTGCTTTCCAAGGGGAGCATGTTTGACTTTGCCAAAGAGGCAAGATGTCCCTCACCCATGTGTTCAAAGGCCACCAGACCAATCTATAATGTTAAAAATGACCTTGACTATGCAGAAATCTAACAGCAGAGATGATAATGGCAGTTATCTTTAGCAGGGCTTAGTGGAAGCAGTTTTCATAGAATCATAAAACCTCATGGGTGGCAGGGTCCTGGAGATGAGTTCTTACAGCCCTTGTTGCACAGGGGGGACAGTGGGCCCAGGGAGGGGCCTTCTCCCGGGGACTGTGGGCGTCCACCTCAGTGTGAAAGCGCAGTCAGGCTTCAGGCAGGGGCCCCGTCTTCAGGCCCCGTGCACATGTGTGCACGTAGGTACACATGTGCGCATGCACGTGCACGTGTTTAGATTCCTCCTGCACTTTCTCCGTGGCTTCTGCTGCCTTCCTCACTCAGAGGCATAACTCTAGCAGGCAGGATGGGAGGAGATGAGCCCCCACCCCTTGGGGAACCTCATTCAGCCCCTCCCTGCAGGTGCAGAGCCCTAGGTCGCTCTGGAAACCTGCTCTGTGAGCTGGCCAGAGGAGGTGGCAGGCCACGTCCTACTCTGAGCTCTTTCCCCAGGGCCCGTGGGATCCATGAGATCCACAGGGCAAGTCCCCAGGGGCTCTATTTAGACTAGAGTTCTGGCCCAGGTTGCTTTTGGTTAAATGGGTTCCCCCGAGTCGGGGCCGGAGGAGAAGCCGAGGAGGCTGGAGACTGCCAGGCTCCCCCCTTCTCCCCTCCGAGGTCGTGCTGGTCAACCTCATTCCCATCCTGACTGGCCCTTCTGACTATTGGCACCCCAGCTCGTGGGTTTACAAGCCCAGCGACTCTGGGCCCCTAATGTGACATGGAATGTGATGCAGTCCTTTCCCGGCCCACACTCGCCTCCCCCGCTCTTCACACTGGACACATGATTCCTCCTTCCTGCCCCACCCCTGCTGGGCTGACCCCAGACTCACCAGCCACCTGCCTGCACACACTCTCTGTCCAGGGCACACACCTGCCTTCCAGGCCGCAGCGGGCCCAGAATCCCTCGGGGGCTGCAGAAAAGGCCTTCGTGGTCACGACTGGAGGCCGGCCGGCCGTCAGCGGGTCCCTACGCGGCCCAGCTGGGCTGTGTTCCCAGCATGTCTGGGTGGCGCGCTAACCCCTGCTCCCATCTCAGGGTGGCCAACCAGTGCCAGGGACCCTCCTGTGCTAGGTCGTCTCCCAGCTCCGCAGGCAGCCGTGGAAGGGCGTGAGCAGGCCCGTTCCTTCACGTGGAAGACGTGTGCTTCTAGGAGGAGGGCGTGGCTGGCGGTGCCCCGTTGCTCCCACACCCGGGGCAGAGTGGGACCCCCCCACCCCTTCTGGTCTCCCCCCAACCCCTGCCCTCTGCGCTCCCTGCAGGACTTTGGGAAGTGCCCGCGACTGAGGCTGTTTACTCAGGAGTACATCCTTGCCTTGAACGAGCTCAACGCAGGGATGGAGGTGGTGAAGAAGTTCATTCAGAGGTGGGTCTCAGCTGGGGCCCCTCCGCTCCTGGCCAGCGGGCCAGCTATCCCCGGCACCGGAACTGTGCGCTCTGCTGACGCTACGAGAGGCGCTGCTGGCGTTCAGAGGCCCTTCTACCAGGGCCTCCTGGGTCCTCTTGACCACATGCCGCCTGAGGCACTCACTTGCTGTGTGACGTCAAGTCAGTTGCTCTACCTCTGTGATCCTCTTTCCTCTGTTATCTACCGGGATTGTTTGTGCAATTAATGAGATGATATCTGAGGAAGCCCCTAGCACAGTGCCTGATGGTCAGTAGGAATTTGGGAAATGATAACCATCCTAAGTGATAAGAGTATTGCTGGGGGTGTGGGGAACCATCTCCTGGTAGCCCTGGAGAGTCCTCACCGGGGATCTGAACAGCTGCCTCCCAAACTTGGCCTCGAGGAAGTCAGATCCTCTGATTCACTTCTGGTTTCAGGGCGGTAGGGGAAGGGGGGTTGTTTCGCTCTGATTTTTTTAAACTTTTCTCTGTGCCTCAGTTTCCTCATCTGTAAGATAAGGACTATGGTACTCACTTCATCCAGTTGTCGTGAAGACTCGGTGAACTCACACATGTAAACACCAAGAATGGGGCCTAAGTGTGGCAGGAACGTTAGTGATCATCGTCACAACTCTTCTCATTTTTTAAAGAAAATTGTGATAGCCTGTTCAAGCCACTTCCAAAAGCTACTCAGTACCTGGAACTCACAGAGCATTTCCAGACCCAGAGGACTGTCCTTCTGCCAGAGCCCTGGTGACCCCAGAGCCCCTTACAGCACCCAGTCATGGTTTATGAAACTGTTTCAGGTCAGGCCTTTTAGCCCCAGCAGCCATGACGTTTTTCCAGCAGTGTTTTGGGTATTATCCCCAGGCTCCAAACAGCACTGAGAGTGGGCGTACGAGACCTGTTTTACAGATGAGAAAATAGGCGCAGTGATAGCGGTAGTAAGTAACAGTGGCTGGCGTTTGCAGAGGACCATGTCCCAGACCCCATGTCAGGCCAGGGTGCCGATAATAACTTCTTCTTTCAAAGCAGCCCACGTGGACAGGAAAATGAGGTGCTGTGAATACTCATTTACAGAACCACTGGGTATAAACACGTCAGTCCCAGGCCGCCTGGCCCCTGTAGGTGACATCGTCCCCTGAATTAGAGAATTGGGTCCTGAAATGAGGAGAGGCCGTTGTCCTCATTCCAGAGCTGAGGAAAGAGTGGAGAGTTTACGAGGCTGGAACCCAGACTCCCTGAACCCGGGGTCCTCAGCCCGGAGCTTGGCCCTCATGCCTGCGCACAGCGGAGCCCAGGACCCAGGTCCCAGGGTTGCCACCTCCCCGCAGAGGACTCGGGGCTGTCCCGCCCCCCCCACCCGCCACGGGCAGCGCCCCCACAGCCGCCCGCTCACTGGCTCTCTGCTCTTTTCCAGCATGCATGGCCCCACGGGGCACTGCCCCCATCCCCGGGTCCTGCCCAACCTGGTGGCTGTGTGCCTGGCTGCCATCTACTCCTGCTACGAAGAGTTCATCAACAGGTCAGTGCCCTCGGCCTCGGGAGGGCCTGGGTGGGGCACGCTCTCTCCAGGGGCGGGGGTCTGCACACAGCTGGCCGGCTGGGAGGGTGGAGTGGCTTCCACTGGGGCTGCCCCCAGTGCGTCTGCCACACCCCCGTGCTCGCTGGTGCCAGGGCCCAAGCCCAGGATGTGGCTGGAGAAGCCGACACCGGAATCAGGGCTGGAGCCGCAAGGCCATTGTGTTGGCGTGACTTTAGGGACGTGTCTACTCTGAAGATTTCTCAGCCTCGGGCCTGTGTAACGGGAAGAGGGCATGACAGAGCCACTGTCCTGGGTCCCCTGGGGCTTGGGTGTGTTGGCTTGTGAGGGAGCTAACCCCCCGAAGGCAGTGGGAGAGAGCCCGGGAGGCCCCTGAGTGCGCCCTCGGGGACCTCCCGGGAGACTGTGCGATGCTCTCAGAGCCCTCCCCCTGAGGAATGATGACGCCAGGGTGGGTAGTTACCAGCTCCCATTCTTCCTGGGTTGAAGTTGGCCCATAGGATGCAGTGACGTGGATGCCGTTAGTTGTATGAACTTTGTATGGTGATATCTGGGGTCATGAGGGCGCAGATGGCATCTGCTGCAGCAGCCCTGTGCAGTTGTTCAAGTGGTGCACTGCACAACTCCAAGAGGGCCAAATTGTGTCAGGGCACTGCTGGAGCCGAGACCACCACAGCAATATATTTCAGTCCTTAAAGAAGAGGCAGTGGAACATCATGAGTGGCAAACCTGAGTGAACTGGGCAACGTGAAGATTTCCTGCCGGTCATTCCCAAGTGCCTGTTTCACGCTCCACAGCAGCTTATGTTTTTTTTTTTAAAAAAAAGGAGGAGGAGGTTGAGAGTAGTACACGGCCTGTACAGCCGTCCTCCGCTTCCCTGTGTACACACATGGTCACGTGCCCTTGACTTCGCACCCTCCACTCCTGGAATTGATCCGCATGCATGTTAAACGCAGGCCACCCCAGGAAGTAGGAGGAGCATCAGGAGTGTCACACACTCTCAGGCTCCTTTTGCTCCCGAAGCCTCTGACTCATCTCGCCCTCCCCGGCTCACTCCGAGGACACCTGAGCTGGGACTCAGGTCTCGGGCAGGAGCGGGAAACGGCACCTCCCAGAGTTTTCCCTCTGAGTCTCCATGGCTCTGCCCAGGTGCCCTGGAGCAGGGATTCCATGACTCAGGGAGGAGAATGGAATCTCTCTCCCAGATCCCCCCCAGGAGAAAGAACCAGAATTGCACAGATAGGGACCTGAAGACAACAATGGCCACCTTCTTCCTTCTCTCATCCATTCTCTCTTTTTGTATTTTTTGGGAGGTCTTTTTGGCTGTGCCACACAGCACACAGGATCTTAGTTCTCTGACTAGGGATCGACCCAGGCCCCTGCATTGGGTGCATGGAGTCTTAACCACTCTTCCCACAAGGAGGTCCCCTGTCCTTTCAACACTCGTTTAGTGAGGGTCCATGGTGTGCCAAGTGTTGATGCCACGAAAGTGAAGCAGCCGGTCTCCCGCCCTCCCAGAGTGGCTGGTGAAACAGTGGACGGAGTGGGCGAGGAGTGTGAAAGCGAGTGGTGAGGTCAGGGCTGTGATGAAACAAGCCAGAGGCATAACTCACGTGGTCTGCAACCCCGGGTGCACCAGTCACCCGAGAAGGCTCTAGAAACTGAAGCCTGCATGAAACTAAGCGTAAAGTAAACCCTGGAACGCAACTTCTCATTGCTGGGGTACCTCCATCAGAAGACAGGTAGGAGAAGGTTTATAGCAGCATTGTTAGTCACAGCTCCAAACTAAGATCTGCCTCGAGCCCAGCATCCAACGGCAGCCACGCGGATAAGCTGTGGTCTGTTCCCACAGAGGAATGCTGCAGGGAAGCGAGGAGCGAACCAGTGCAACTGGCAAGCCGGGAATTAATCTCCCAAACACAATATGGAACAGAAGAAGCCATAGAGTGTAAATCTTGTTCCTTAAAGTGCAAGAACAGGAAAACAAGTCTATGGTGATAGAGGCCAGAATAGTGGCTGCTGGCAGGTGGAGCCTGCCATGAGAGGAGCTTCTGGGTCCTCAGGAACGTTTCACGTCTTGACCTTGGTCGGTGGTTCTCAGGTGGGGGCAACTTTGACCCCCCAGGCATATCTGGCCGCGTCTGGGGACATCTTGGGTCGCAGAAGGAGGGGTGCTGCTGTAAGAGTGGGTAGAGGTCAGGGATGCTGCTGAACTCACTGCCATGCATGGGGCGCCCCCACCCCCAGCCCCCCAGGAATTACCTGAACTGTCTGGCAGCAAATGTCAGGTATGGAGGAAGCCTGGTCTGGTGGCTGTTACACCAGGAACTTGTGACAGTCACAGAGCACTGCCTGAGATCTGTGGACTCACCTGGACTGAAGTCACCCCAGGGGTATGCTGGACCCCACAGTCAGGGATGGCACATTGGCCGTTGCATCCGGTCATGGTGGGACTGTTTACTCCAAGAAAACCGGTAGGCACTACCCCTCAGGGCTTCTGTTCTGCAGAATTGGTTGTTAGGTATTTACCAACGTCTCACTGGTTATATCTTTAAAAAGAAAAAGAAGAAAGGGTGCCTTTGTCCCACCCACTGCACCTCTGAATAATTGGAATGCCCCTGGCATCAGGTTCTGTTTGGTGTTTTGGTTTTTTTTTAACACTTTAGGCAAATGGCGTGTGTGGGCAGAGCTGAGAACCCCTGCTCTAGGGGAAAGAGAGGAAGGGGTTCTGCGGAGCGGTGATGCTTAAACTGACACGTCCTGGCTGTCAGCAGGGCCGGAGGCTGGACAGGAGGACCCAGGCAGGGGGCCTGGCGGGGCAGGGGGCCGGCCAGTGGACACGTGTCCTCTGTCGGTGGTCCTTAAGTGCCTGCTTCACAGTGCCCTGCACGGCTTACTTCAAATGCAGACTCCTGGACGCCCCGTCTCTGGGCCCGGCTCGGGAGTCTGCATTCTTGGCAAGCTCCATGGGGGATCTGCTTCAGGTGAAAGGCCCCTGCAGGGACGGCAGAGAGGGAAACTGAGTGTGACCCGAGCAGACAGAGGCACAGAGGCGGAAGACCGAGTTGGAGACGAAGGCCGGGCCACGGAGGGACTGCGCTGCTGAGCGTTCCCCACCTCCCACGCCGAGCTGCTCCCAGGGTCCTCCTCCCAGGCCCGCTTGCCTGACAGACCCCCAGGACCGCCATCGCTGGTCGGGGACCCCTCTTTGAGCAGCAAGGCTGTGCCTGCCCTAGAGGTTTTCTTCTAAGGGCATTGTAGTCACCTGTGGGTTTTAAGTAGACAAAGGACTTAATGTCCATTTCCAGAATCCCCTCTGGAGTCCCCTCTGGCCGCTGCTGCAGAAGCCAGGCATGACCTTGGGGATACCATTAGGCAGCGGTTGCAACTTGGTGCCCAAGGTGGAGGCCTGGGGAGGGTGAAGTGGGCCCTGGTATCCTCCCCAGCCCACACAGGCGGCTCCAACTCCACGCTCAAGACAGCCCAGCGTCAGAGCCCAAAGTAGTGTGGGTTCTGAGAGCAACCGTGAGCCCCTCCAGGAAGTCACATCGTGGGCTGCGAGACCTTTCCTGGGCTCAGGTCCACCCACCCTGCTGGTCAGTCCCTGGAAGATAAAGTCCCACACCGCCCTCCGGGCCCATCCGCAGCGCTCTCAGTGGGTACACGATGTCCTCAGACACAAAAGAACAGACAAGCTGACCCAGGTTAGCGTAGCTCGCTGGAAAAGCACCCAGTCTGAGCCAAACAGCCTTGAAAATCCACTCCTAAATCCCAGCAGAGGCGGAGGGGATGGAGCTGAGAGCAAGTCAGCTCTGAGCCCCTGGAGTCAGCTAGCACGCCTCCCCCCGCGCCGGACCACACACAGTTTTCCATGAGCCATAGAATTCTTGGACTTCAGCTCAAGGGTTTTGTTTTTTTCCGCAGCAAAGCTTAGAGTGTATTTATCAAACATCCTTGGTGGGCTCTGCTCAGACCCGGCTCGTGGCATGTGCTAGACCCTTTAGGCCCTCCCAACGCGGTGGGTGTGCATTCTACGCCCGACCCACGTGCACAGGGAGCGTGCATGTCTCTTTGGACACATAGCCGCATGCGTGTGGCCCATTTAGGGAGGGTTGGGAAGAGCAGCTGTTTGTGGTCACATCATTGTGCTCTGAGTCCCTGAGAGCAGCAGCCTCAACCTTGACAGCACACACAGAGAGCCCCAAACCTTACTGGTGTCCAGACTCCACCCCAGAGATTCCGACCTAATGGGACCTCAGGATATTTAGAAGTGCCCCAAGGGACACTGGTGTCCAGTCAATGGTGGAGAGCTCTGGTTCAGGGGCAGGAAGGGTGAGAACGGCAGGTGGAGGAAATCAGGGAAGACTTCTTGGAGGAGGAGGACCTGCATGGGCTCATCCTGGATCTTAGAAGTGCAGGCAACAACCTCGTTTCACATCCCAGGCCCCCCCACCCCTCCCACCACCACCACCACTAACAAGCTATGTCATCTGGGTAGTCATTTGACCTCTGGTAGCATCTTTTCTCACCTGTAACGTGGAGAGAGTAATTCCTTCTCTTCAGAGATATCTGAGAATGTCTGTGTGAAAGCGCTCGGCACGGTGCCAGCCTAGGGGCACCAACAAAGGACTCCCACTGCTGGAGTTCCCTTCGTTCTGAAGCGCCACCTCACAGCATTTGGAAGCACCCAGGGAGGGGGCGTTTTACCCCGACGACTCTGACAAGTCCTGCCGTAAAGAGGCCCAGCATTTCCCACTCACGTGTGACCTCAGTGATGCCACAGCGCCCTTTATGCAGCTGACACCTTTTAACCCTCTGCACACTCATCATTCCTCTAGGCAGTGGAGAGGTTTTTCTGGGGACTTAGCCAAGAGTGGTGGGGTGCTGCAGACAGGAGTGACCTGCGGACCGCAGGGGACCAGAATCTGAAGTTTGGGGTACCTTGGAAGGGGGTTGCCCAGTGGAGGGCAGAAGCTGAGCTTTCTCAGCCGACAGGGATGGGGCGGCAGCAGTAGGGCTTGGGGCTTGTCCCAGGGACCTTGTGGCCTTAGCCAGAGGGGACAGTTAGATCACAGGAAGCAACTGGAAGCCAGATCACTAGGAGGTCTCCAAGGTGTGTCCAGAAGGCGTCTCGGTGGAGGTGCACATTGAGGGCCTAACGGGTCAGTAGAGAGATCAGCATTCACTTATTCACAATCATGTGTCAACCACCTGCTCCGTGTGGGGATGCCGGCACGCGCCTTAGCAACAGGTGGCCCGGTTCAGATGCCATCTCCACCTCTCCGTGTCTGCAGGCCTTGAGCAGGCCTGTGTGCTCGCTGGTGGGTGGGAGCCAGCCACCACCCCATCCTGGGCCGCCGGGTCACTGAGTGGGTGCAGCCCCGCCTATGACGTCCAGGACCCCCCGGGGCTGCACTCACGACCCTCCCCGCCTCTCCCGCAGCCGCGACAACTCCCCCAGCCTGAAGGAGATCCGGAACGGCTGCCAGCAGCCCTGCGACCGGAAGCCCACCTTACCTCTGCGCCTTCTGCACCCCAGCCCGGACCTGGTGTCTCAGGAAGCCACGCTGTCCGAGGCACGGCTCAAGTCGGTGGTCGTGGCCTCCAGCGAGATCCACGTGGAGGTGGAGCCCGCCAGCACTGCCAAGCCGGCGCTGACGGCCAGCGCGGGCGACGACAACGAGCCCAACCTCATCGACTGCCTCATGGTCAGCCCCGCCTGCAGCACCATGAGCATCGAGCTGGGCCCGCAGGCCGACCGCACGCTCGGCTGCTACGTGGAGATCCTCAAGCTGCTGTGAGTGACCCCTCCGGCCGGGCGCCTGTGGGGGGCAGGGGCTCGCAGCTGGGGGGAGCTCAGCGTGTACATGCATGAGTGTGGGTGCACAGGATGCAGATGTAGGGCGTGAGGGCACAGGTTTGTGGGGGTGTTGGGAGTACAGGCCGGGCTCTGTGTGTGCGTGTTTGTCTGAGGGCCTGGACACGTGTATCAGGCATGGGCACAAGCAGGATGTCCACACACGTGTCCAGGAGTCTGAGAATGTGTGAGTGCACACTCCTGCCCAGGTGTGCTGCAGCACACAGTATCCGAGTGTGTCTGTGAGTGTGGGGACACCTCTGCGTGTGTGTAAGGTGTGGGCTCATTCTGAGTTTGTGATCGTCCTCGTGTGCGTGTGAGTGCCTTTGGATGTATGAAGGCATGACAGCATGTGAGTGGCTGCTTCCATGTGTGTGTGACTGTCTGCATACACGAGCTGGATGTGGGTTGGAGGTGGATGCCTCTAAGGGGCCAATATGTGTGTTTCAGGTGCATGTACACAAGTGTCTGGGTGCTTGTGCTGCTTCTGTGCATGTGTAGCTCTTGAGTGCTCACATGTGAGTGTGAACACTTGTGCACAAGAGCTGGAGTGAGTGTGTGTTTTAGTGTATGTGTGCAGATGTGCCCATGAGCCAGCACGTGAGTGTGTTGCATGATCCACGCGTGCTTCATGTGTGTGGTGTGTACGTGCTGTTGTGTCCCGTAGCCTCATCTGGTGGGTGGGGAGCAGCGTGCCGTGCAGATGAGGGTCCACCTGCCTGGCTGGTGCGAGGAGCCCTGGGCAGGAGCCAGGAGATCCATCTGCTCTGGGTGGTGCTTCTGAGCTGGGTGCTCCGGGTCGTGCGTACCCCTCCCTGAGCCTCGGCTGTGGGACTCTGAGGAGCCCGTGGTGTCTGTGAGGGTGAGCACGGCATGCATGCACAGGCACACACACACGCACCTGTGCACACAGATACACATGTGCATGCACACACGCACACATGCCTGTGCACGCAGACACACGTCCATGTGCGCACATGCCTGTGCACACACATGGTGTGCACACATGCTTGTGCACACACATGTATACCTGTGTGTGCACACGTGTGTGCACATATGCATACATGTTAGGCAGTGGCTTCTCGTGTTTGGAGGCGACTGGATGCAGCCCCCTCAGACTCTTCCTCAGCCCTTGCTTTGGCCCCAGAGAGGAGGCAGGTGTTTCCCAGGACTCAGCCCAGCCTGGCTCATGGTTCTGGAAGCCAAGGCCAGCCCAGAGTGCACGTGCATTTAGCAATGCCCCCACCCAAAGCAAATCCCAGATTCTGCCCAGAGAGCATCCCCCAGAACGCATCTCAGTTTGAGGCTGAAGAACTGTCCGCTTCCTCCCGGGGTGGCAGTCAGCCCTCCAAGGGACAGACCGGCCGCGGTCCCATCTCCTCCTCCGGCCGGGCCCTGGTCTCCTCCCCGGACCCCTGAGTCCGACTGTTTTCTGCAAACACCTGGAGCTCCCAGGCCTTGCAGTGGCCCAGGCCCTGACTCATATTTCTCATTAAGCGCTAAGGGTTTGAGTTTCATCATGCAGTTGACACTCATTTTTTTTTCCTTCTTTGTAAACACATTCATGAATGAAGACTCTGTTCTTCCTAATCTGCTTCCAGACCTCCTGCCTACCCGCGCCGCCCAGCTGCCAGGTCGTGGGTGGGGGTCAGGGGGCCCACTGGGCGGTGTTCCTGACCACTGCTCGGAGCAGCCCCTCCCACCGAGCCTGGGGGTCTCCACGAAGCAGGGTGCACACCTCCTGAAGCCCTTTTCACCGTGGGGGAGCTCAGAGCACGGTCGGGCCCGGTTATTCCTTCTCCTGGCTGCTCTCCTCCACTAACTCTGCCGCCTGCTTGAGTCACTGGCCCACCGGAGGGCGTCACGTCTGTCAAATCCGCAAACCCCAGCAGCTCAGGGCACTCCAAAGTGTGATCCATTGGAAAAAGCACAGATTCAGAGCCAGGCTGTTGGTCTCGGGGCTGGGGATGTCCGTGTCAGCTTGTGACCATGGGCAGGTTACCCGCCCTCTCTGAGTCATAGCTGCCTCCAAGCAGAGAAGGCACGGGTCTTCTCAAGGCACGGGTCCAGCACAGAGCAAGTACCCCCCAGGTATAAATACTGGGCAGGTGGGGGTTACTGTACTTTCAGCAACAACAACAACTGTATTTCATCTATTTTAAGGTACTGTTGGGACTGAGACACATGATCTATTTAATAACAGCACTTTGGGAGGGAAAAAAAAATTGGGGGGATTCAATGCAGGCTCAGTTTGCAAGAAACGTGCATCTGAGAATTGAGGAAGTGCGGCCATAGGACTTAGTCTGCTGTGTTCTTGGGGCCTCGGTTTTCTCATCCATAAAGTGGGTGTTTTCCTCAGAAGGAGAATTTAGGACTTGGTGAAAGTAGACTACTGTGGTCAATAGGACGGCTCCCTAGATGAGAGTCATGTGTATGACAATGAAAGGACAGAGGCTCTTGTGTGAAATTGAGGGGTCTTGTCAGCACATTGTGGGGTCCAGAGAAGCCCTTCTCAGAGCCAGGGCCCAGCCTGGCAGACTGCAGCCACAAGGAGCAGGCACCTCTCTATCCTGAGAGAGTGGGCGAGGGTCCTGGTTAGTGGCCTGCCCACCGGAGGGCCTGCAAACCGCGAGAGTCTGACACCTTCAGAAAGGAACATACGCCACAGTCAGCTCCCCAGAGACTCTTGCAAAGGAGAATTGCTCCCAGCACAGGTCAGGGCTGACACTGAAATCACCGTGGTGTGAGACCCAAGCTGGGTGGGACAGCGGGACTTGGGAACATGGACTTGGGAGTCGGACAGACCAGCTTTGGCCTCTAGTCATCTGGAGTCCAGCTCTTAACCTGCTGGGCACGTGCAATTCACACATCTGTGTATCCATCTCTATGCATTCTTTCATCAAACACTGACTACACGCCCAGAGGGGCTGGGTTCTGTGCTAAATGCTGGGGCCCCTTTGCTCGAAGTCTCTGAGTCTGAGTAGTGCCAAGTGCTGAAAGCAGTGGCATCGCCCAGTGGGTTGGAGCGTGGGAATCTCTAGGCACAAGCGTGGCGGCAAGCCAAGGGACACCCTTCTGTCCAGGAAGAGAAAAGCTGCCGTCACGAGGGCTAGATGGACACGTTGGCCATTTTCTCATCAGCTCGAATGTCTGCCTCCTTGTTACTTTTGCAGACACCTGGATTTTGAAAGAGGCCTCAATGGGCTGGGGTTCAGCTGGAAGATGCCTCACCCCTTTGGGGCCCTTAGGGAAAACCCAGATGGATTTGGGGTTGTTCTAGTGACTGAGAAACATACTGGTGACTAGAATGTAGAAGGCAGGCGCTGGGGACATGGCCCGGGACAGCCCTCCTTGGTGAAGAACTTGGCTCGGCCAGACATGTTGGACGGTACAGCTCTGCCGAGGGGAAACGCCAAGGGTTTGGTGTGAGGAAGTAGGGAGACTGGAGACCCTGGCAGATAGGAATGGCTGAAAAAGCCTCCAGCAGGCTGAGAGATGGAGAGGGGGGCTGTAAGAGGCGAGGGACCAGGATGAAGCCACAGTCTGATGTGGCTCTGGGGTGCGGTGGACTGGAGCCCAGCCAGCATCCTCTGTCCTCACGAGGGTCCCCGGGCCCCAGACTCGAGCACTACCAGCTCCACCAGCCACTATCCTCCCAGTGAGACTCAGGATAGGGAGCTGGGTTCCCCAGGGGGCAGGGGTGGAAGGACCTCCTCCTTGGTTTCGCATCAGTCCGCATGGGGTCCAAACTTCCTCCCCTATATCCAACTCACGATATGCTTTAGGACTGCGAGTCTGCCTCTCTGAGCCTCGGTTTCCCAGTTGTGAACTAAGGATGATCCTCCTGGTCAGCGCATTCCGGCCCCCAGGGCTGCCTTGAGAATTCAGTGAATTCCTGCGTGCCTCATGTTGGCCACAGCACTTGTCACCTGCAGGCTTGTGGCAAGGACGGGTACCCGGGCCCCACAGTCAGCATCTCTGCACGTGGGCTTCTGGAGGGGGTTTTAGATGTTGCCGGCAGAGCAGCAGAAATTCACATCTTTACGGGTATGCGTGGTGTATGTGTTCGAGTAGGTGGACCCATCTGTTTGGAACCTTGCAGATGCAAATTCCTGGGGCTCGTGGCCGCTCTGTAGAGTCCAGACGCTCCCTGGTGCACCCAAGGCCGGTGGATCTGCCTGCAGCCTGGGGAGGTCCCCGGTGGGATGACGGGGCCGAGAATGGGGCTCTGTCCAGGTCGCCAGCTGCAGGGATAATGGCCACTCGTTTCTCACCTTGGATTTTAATCCCCAGGTCAGCTGGTCGGCCTGTTGAGGGAGCAGATACTTGTTCATGTGACGGCAGGAGTAGGGCAGGGCGAGCCCCCCGACACGCACTCCTGGCACCCTGGTCTGCCTCGCCCCAGGTGCCCTGCTCATGGTCCTCCAGGCAGGCCATGAGCCTGCACTGGTCCCCCAGGCCTCGCTCGGCCCTAGTTCACCACCCTGCCTCGGAATCCCTTTGAGAACCCCCTCCCACGCCACCCCAGGGAGCCACCCTCCAGGGTGTGGCTGCGTGAGACCAGGGTTCGGGTCAGACGCTGCGTGCAGGCCGCCGTTAGGACCAGGCCTGCCTGACGCAGACCTGTGTGCTGGGGACCCGGCTTCTGAGAGGCTTGTGTGGCCCCAGTGTCTCTGGCTGGGGTGTCTTCCCAAGTACCTTGTCCAGGGGGCAGCGCAGAGCCCCGGTTTTGTAGCACCTGTCAAGCTGGGTCGCAGATCTGCCGAAGTGCACTGTCTCCTGCCAGGTCAGGGCGGTCACCCCACATCCTCAGAGCCACCCCACCCTCATTTCCTGCACCCCCTGCCTCACCGGCCCAGCTTGACCGTGGTGTTACCCACCCACCACCTTCCCACGCCCGCGAAAGGAAGTCCTCGGTCACGTAGGCGCTGAACCCCTCGTGGAGTGGCGCGGGGCTGGAGGCCTGGGTCTCCTGCTCAGAGGGCCTCATTCAAGTGCAGCTTCTCCCTCGTCAGCTCCATGATCTTCCGCAGGTGTCCTGGCCTCTCTGGGCCTGTCTCGCCTCTGTAAGTGGGTTAGGGGAGTCACGGCGTGCTGTTTGGCCCCCAGGGCACATCAGAGGCCACGAGGATGTCGAAGGGCCCCTGGTCCAGTCTCGCCTTCCTCCCTGAGCCTGGGGAGGCCTGGCTGTCCTGTGCTTCCCGGGGCTGGGCTCGCTCCTCCCAGCCCGGCCGGCAGCTCTCCCTGCACCCCGCAGGCCGGCCCTGTTCTCAGGTGCTCGTGACAGGCGCTCTGCTGACCACGGGGGTCCCACCCCCATCCCGTGGGCCTGGCCAGTCCCCGGGCTCCGTGCACCCAGCCTCGGCCCAACCCTGCCACTGGACCCTCCAGACTGGTCACACTGGGCGTTTGGGGCAGGTCCAGGAGCCAGCCACAGACTCGGAGCTGAGCAGGGCCGCGGCCAGGAAGGAAGTCTGTCTGCCCTCCCCCTTGTCCTTCGCCCCTGTCCTCCTCCTGGTCCTGCCTGAGCTGCCATCCTGGGCTGGGCACCCGCTTCCACCCAGACCCCAGCCCAGCCGCCCACTGGGCGCCAGGTGACGCATGCTGCTCACCGAGAAGTGGTGTGGACCTCCCCTTCCGTTCAGAAGCGAGCCCGGGCCAGGCAGGTCCTACCGGGAGCCCGGCAGGCACCCACACTCCCCGCCCGACCCCGGCTCTGGGCCTCTGACACCCACTCTGGTCTGTGGTGGTTGTTCAGCCGCCCGGTCGTGTCCGACTCTTCGTGACCCCATGGACTGCAGCATGCCCAGCCTCCCTGTCCTCACTATCTCTTGGAGCTTGCCCAAGTCCGTGTCCACTCTGATTATGGAGGATTTAAACATTGCTTAGAATTTTCTGTAATTAGCAGCATTTCCACACTGAGTGTTTTTTATTATCTTAAAGCACAAGAAAAACTAGTGTGTGCCCCCTTTTGAGAATGGGAATGGGCCTGCTTCTGCAGATGCGAACAGTGGGCCAGAGCACAGGCTCAGGAGCCAGGCTTCCGGGTGGCCGTGTGACCTGGGGCCTGTGCTCACCAAGACTCAGTCTCTGGCTGTAGAATCGGGAGCTCACCGGGTACCCTGGAGGAAGGCAGGTCCGATCCACACACGTGCCTGGAACAGCCTCTGGCTTGTGACGGGCACTGTCTATAGCGTTTGCACCAGTTATTCTTAAATTTCTCTGGAAACCATGAGTGCATCAGTGACTGGTGGGGGTTGGGGGAGGGGTTCAGAGGGAGACGAGGCACCTACCAAAATCGGCGACGGCAGGTCTGAGGTCAGAGGGATTTCCATGTCCTGACGGGCTCCCTGAGCCCAGCCCCCCCGCCCCGGGCAGCGGATACCCAGCCTCGGGCACTGCAGTCTAAGGACCTGGCTGGGTATCCTTGCTCCCAGCCTCCCAGCCACCTGAACTCGGCCAGGCTGGCAGGCATCCCGGGCCCCACTTCCTCACCTGGGGGGCAGGTATGATCCTCCCGTCCTCAGGAGCCTGTCCTGGGGACTCAGAGCCCAGCTGGGCCCACTCCGAGGACTTATCTCAGGCCCACAGGCCTTTCTGGGAATCCTTTCCTGTGCGTCCGGGGCTTGCGTTTTTCCTCAGCACACTCCAGGGTGTGCGCTGGACTCCAAAGGCTGCCGCGTTATCGCCGCTTTATGTGGAGGAAGGGGGGCTGGGAGCACTTCCGACCCGGGGGTTATCTAAACTGCTGGGTGAAAAGATCTTCCTCCTTTTTTGGGAATGAAGTACAGGCAGACACATGGCATGTAGACAGATACTGTATGCTGAAAGCGCAGTCAGGGGAAAGTGCTGAGAAAGCTCTTTGGGGCGGGGAACAGGAAGGCCCAACTCCGGCAAAGATTGAGAAACTAAATTCTGGAAATTCCCAGGGGTAGAGTCTGTGCTATCCCTGCTAGAGGCCCAGGTTCAACTCCTGGCTGGGGAAGTAAGATCCCGCAAACTGCAGGGTGCAGCCAAAAAAAAAAACACCCCAAAACTGAAAACCATCAAATTCTATACACAACGGAGTCCTCAGGCCATAGGAGCAAGAATTAGGTCTGGGCTCTGGGGCAGCCTCTGCCTAGGCCAGGCTCTCACAGAGACCCGGGGGCCTAGAAACAACAAAAGTGCATTTTCTCTCATTTCCAGGGGGCTGGCACTCTGGAATCTCTGTGTGGCTACTGTTGGTTTTGTCTGAGGCCTCTCTGCTCGGCTGGGAGGTGGTCACCCCTCTTTGTGGGCCTGTGTCCTGACCTCTGCTTATGGGGACACTGGTCGGATTGAATTAGGACCCGCCCCAGTGAGCTCACTTTTACCTTGATCATGTCTTTGAAGGCCCCACCTCCGTAAAGCTACTATCTGGGGTCTCGGCGTTAGGCCTTCAACGTGTGAATCTGCGGGGGCACGTTTCAGCCCACAGCTGAATGGTGGTCTGGGAGCTGGCTGCAGCAGCTGGGAGGTGGAGTCCGGGAGCTGGGTGGCTGGCCCGTTCGGTGGCCGCGGTCAGGTCTCTGGACAGGCTTGACAGGCTCTGCCACCACGTTGCAGATAACAGGTGCTTGTCCCTCGGGGTCCCTGGGAGCCGAGGTGACCTAGAAGAGTCGGGGCCGTGTGGTCCCTGCCTGACTCTCACCCTGTCTCTGACCCTCTGTGATGAGGCACCGTTAACCTCCCCGGGTCCAGAGCATACCTGACTGTCACCCCTTCTCTTTCCAGGTCGGACTATGATGACTGGAGACCATCTCTGGCCAGCCTGCTTCAACCCATTCCATTCCCCAAAGAGTAAGTCCCCCACACATCCCTGGAAACCTTTGGCCTAAGAGAACAACCTCCATCGTCCACCCTGGCCTTAGCAGGGGACTGGTCAGGTCATGGGACGCACCTGGGGACACCACAGATGACAGAGGGAGGTGGAAGTGTTGGTCCTCGGCAATGGGGCCCCTGGGAATGTTCACCTCCCCACCCTGAGAAATGGGGGCACCACCTCATTGCATGGTTAGATGGCTTTGCTGGGCCACGAATATAAAGCTCTCTGCACTGGCCTTCAGGCGGTCAAGTTAGCAGATGCTTAGGGAGCATCAGATGGAGTTGGGTGCCTGCCCCTCCTGTCTCCAAGGGCCAGAGTGAAGATAACGCAGGTGGGACCACTCCGTCTGGGGTACAGCCAGACGCTGAGCCTTCCCTTGTTATCCCCATGACGGTGATCTCGCTCCACAGTGAGCTGAGCCAGTAATGGACCCTTCGGTCTCTCTGGACAGTGCTCATCCCAGTATCAAATTTATCTTGGGGAAAAGAGGGAGAAAGCTGTCTGGTGGATAATGGCCTGAGGGGAAGGCTCTGTCTCCATCACCAGGCCCTGAAATGCCTGCAGGCCTCTGTTTTGATAGATGTGAAGCAGCGGGCCCCAGGAGGCCACCGCGAGCTCTCTGCGGAGCCGATTAACGAGCCCGTGTTTATGAAATGCGGCCCTCCAAGGGGACATTACCCTCGGTAATTGCCCCATTTGCCGGCCTGGCTGGTCCCTGGAGCCCGCAGGATGTGAGACCGGAGAAATCCGACTCCCGAGGGCAGTGGCGTCATTGGCTGCAGCCCTGGCCCCATGGCCCGGGGGACGCACCTGACAGTGAGCCATGATGCAACGCTGTCCTGGGAACGGTCCCCGACCGCCGCTCCGATGCGAGCCGGTAATTAGCGCTGCCGTGCCTTAATGGTGGAGCGATTAACAGACACACCTGGGTCCCTGGTGCCCACGTGCAGACACATGCACGTGCACCCCGCTGAGCACCGCTCCTCTTCACCGGGGTGGGCCCCAGGGGCTCAGCCTGTTCCCGTTCTGACCCACGTGCTGTCGAGTCGGGACACGATGTCCGTGTTGCCCGCTAAACTTCCTGTTCGCTCCTGGAACCAGGCCTGCCATCCCCAGAGGCAGGCCTGTGGGTCACTGTGCTGTCGTCGCGAGCGCCCCACTCACTGCAGTCTTCCCCTTGTTTGTGTTCCAGAGCTCTCGCGCACGAGAAGTTCACCAAGTGAGTATTCGGGCAACACCCATTACCCCCTTCTGGGACACGTCCCCTGTCCTGCGGGCGTCCCCCAGCGACCAGCCACCCTTTTGGCTGGTCCTCCGCACTTGCGTCCGGGGAGGTGAGGATGGCGCCCCTAGAAGTTCTCCCGAGACCCGTGTCCATCCAGGTCCGTCTGGACGTCTCTTGATCCTGCCAGCTCAGCCAGCACCCCACCCCATCCTCAGCGCCCCCATGCTGGTCCACCCTAGCCAGGACCCCAGGCACGACTGTCCCTACGCCGTCTCTTTCAGGGAACTGAAGTACGTGATTCAGAGGTTCGCCGAAGACCCTCGACAAGAGGTGAGGCCGCCCTGTCCCTGGCGGGCACACCGTCCTGCAGCCAGGCACCTCCTGGCCCCCTCGGGCATCCCGACAGTTCACATGGTCCCCCTGCCTTCGCTCAGACACAGCCCCCGTCCCGCGTGTCCGAGCCCAGCCTGTGATGCGAGCATTCTCCTATAAACGCAGGCTCACCAGAGGTGCTTCCCATCAGTGGTTTCTCCTTGGAGCACAGACAGGCCTCGCTTTAGGGCCAGGCCAGCACCAGGGCTCCTAACCGCATCTGAGGTCGCGGCACATCCTCTCTGCTGGTCTGAGGGTCAGCGGGCCGGGACAACACTGTGCTGGGATCTTCCTGGGCACAGTGGCTGAGGGTCGCCCCGAGGGGCCGCTCCCTGCCTCCAGCAGCTGGCCTTCAAGGGCAGCGAAGCCTTGCAGCCCAGAGCCCCTGCGTGTGAACGGGGACTCGGAGCGGGCTGGGCGCCCACCCCAGCCATGCTCCCATCACGTCAGTGTAGGGGCAACTGCTGGCCTTCGTGAGGGGCTCACCCCATGTCGGGCACACACGTGTGCTCATTTAATCCTCATAGCAGCCCTAAGAGTAGGTGTTATTATCACCCCCATTTTGCACCAGAATCACCCTCCTTTCAGAGTTGAGAAAACCAAGGGTACCTGCCCAGGGTCACAGGACAGGTGCCCTGGCTGGGATGGGAGCTGCACCCTGGGAGTTGGGCTCCGGAGCCTGTGTAGGACCCAGCCCTGCGGTGCACACACTGGGTGAGGGGGGGAGGGGCTGCAGGGTCCGCCCCGGGGAGCTCAGGCCCCTTCTCCGCACATGGAGTCTGGGACATGAGGGGGACCTGGGCATCCCCAGCAGAGCCAGAGGACGAGGAAGGCAGAGGAGGCGGGGGTTATTTTCAGTGGGGCCAAGGCCACGCTGCAAAGCCTTGTTCTGGAAGGATCCGGAAGGATCTAGTTCTAAAGCAGCATGATCCCACCCTGACTCCAAAAGTGGTCCTCAGGCACAAGCAGCAGACAGAGCTTCTGAGCGTCCGGGTCCCAGGGATGGCCTCCACCACTCTTAAACCTGAGCCGTTCCCTGCTGGAGGCAGTCTGAGTCCTCCCGGAAAGGCAGGCTTTATTTCAAACTGACTTTGATGTTGATGAATGAAAGTGGTGCCAGCTGCTTCCCAGAGCGGAGCCGCGGCCCGAGTGCCGGGAGCGGCCTCTCCCAGCCGGGGTCGCCCCTCGAGGACATGGCCCCCAGCAGGCTCACCCCGCCTCGCCTCCCTCTCCCGCCGCCTCCCCGGCTCTCCTCCCCTCTCCGCATCCCTCCGCCCTCCTCCCCCCTTCTCCATCCCAGATGAAGCCAGTGGCGGTTTTCTTATAAATCATTTGCTGGGTCTGCTGCAGAGAGTCCCGTACTCTGGATCTCTCGTTTCTTTGAAGTAGCTCAGTTGACGTTCGGAGGGGAAATGGGAGCCTGGCCGCCCCTGCATGCTGTTTACTTGTGCGGGGGTTGTGATCAGGGAACTGTCTGTGAGTAAGTGGCTCTTGGCAGCAGGTCGGCCTTCACTCCTGAAGGAAGTGATGGGGCTCTCGCCTCCCTCTCTGCTGAGGAGGAGGAGGAGGAATACAGGCCTTTGTCTGTCTGTCTCTCTGCAGCTACAGCGGGGCCAGGGTGGGTGTGGGGTTCCTCCCACACACGCACACGTGTTTGCACACACGCACGCGCCCACAGGCGGACACACGGCACTCTGGGAAGGGAGCTGACAGCCACAGAGAGAGCTGGGGGCATGGAGATTGCCCGTGCTCTGCCCAGACCGTTTTTCCTAAAAGAGGGCGTCAGGGTCCCAGAGAGAGAGAGAGGGGTCAGTGGGGCAGCGCCCACACCAGGGGATGGCGCCCGTGAGGGTGGAGCAGGGGAGAGGCCGATCCCCAGGGTTGGAGAGACAGGTGCCCCAAAAGTGAGGGTGAGGAATGCAGGGAGCGGACACCCTAGTAGTGAGGGGGCGGGGCGGAGGTTCAGAAAGAGCAGAGTGCGAGAGCGGGGACTTGGAGACATGGGGGGTGTCAGAGGCCCTGACAGACAGAGGGAAGAGCAGCGTCCCCGTCAGAGGCACAGGAGAACGCTATGAAGGTCCCTTCACCTCTGCCCCGACTTGGCCCCAGACTGGCTTCATTCTGGGCGACTGGACTAGCCAGGGCGTGGTCGTCCATCTCGAGGAGCTGGTGGCAAATGGCTGGAGGTCCCCCGTGTGCGGTTATCAGTTTTTCCCTAAAGGCCTTCCCTGGATTAGGAGAAGGCTGGGCGTGTCTGGGCTAAAGCAGGTCGCACAGATTCCTGGAGCATGAGCGTGGGGCTCAGCCGGGCCTTGGGAGCTGGTGCGCATGGGTCCTGGGCCTCCATCATCACGGGCGCGCGGGACTGACCGAGTGCTCTCCTCTGCCGCAGGTCCACTCGTGCCTGCTGAGCGTGCGAGCCGGCAAGGACGGCTGGTTTCAGCTCTATAGCCCCGGAGGGGTGGCCTGCGATGACGACGGGGAGCTGTTTGCCAGCATGGTACGTGGGCCGGGGGGGCACTGGAGCTCTGTGTGGGCGCTGGGTTCACCCCTTCTGAGCAGTGAGAGCTGCCCCGACACTTCCAGGCCAGAAGGATGCTAGTGATGAAGGCGGTGATGGTGACACCAGCCCCGAGCGTCACCTTCCCGTGTCTCACCCGAGTGGGCACTGAGCCAGAGGCCCCCCATTTTACAGATGAGGCGCTACCTGCTCAAGCTACTGGGTTCACTCTGTGCCCCAGTGCCGTGTAGGTTCAGGGGACTGAGCGCTGACTGGTACAGGGGCCCCAGAAGTCGTTGCAGGTCCACCCCGCTCGTCTGATCCTTGCACTGAGATGTCAGGGTCGGGATGAGCAGCCCACCTTGGAGATGAGGGCTCTAGAGGTCACCAAACCCATAAGCACACCCTTTTGGTGGCTTCTGGTCCTTATCCCCGCGCACTGAGGCCAGCGCTTCACCTGACCACGCACCATCTTTCTTCGTCTCCACGGCAACCCGTTCCCTTAACTACTTCTGTGTTGACAACAAGCACAGAGGGGAGCAGTGGCGTGCCCGAGGTCACACAGACCTCCCTGCGCCAGGCCCATGCTGTCCGGAGCCGCCCTCCTTCCAGCGGCACAGGGAGCACAGGCGCCCCTTACCCAGGGCATACGCCCCTCCAGGCAGCCGTCGCTCTCACCGAGCCCGCTTCCTGACACAGCTCTGCTCCACAATCACGCTTGTCCCGGAGCGTGAGAAGGCCAAGCCGTGGCCAGGGTCGCAGCCCTGCCCTGCGCTAGCCTGATGACCTTGGACCAGTATCTTTCCTCTCTGGGCTTCAGTGTCCTCGTCTGTGAAGTGGGGATCGTAGTCCTGGCATCTTGGGATTACCTTGGTGATTGTGATATTAGATGTGTGGCGCCTGGCGCTCTGTCAGCGCACGCCAGTGATGGCTGTGGTTCCTCTCATCTCTGCTGGGCAACTGGTTCAGCGGGGTGAGCAGCTTGTAATGCCCTCCGCCGTGAACTTAGGGTGGTGTTTGCGCTGTGATGACAGACCTCAGCGCTGCCTCTGGATCCTTGCTTGGAAAAGGGCTTATTTTTAGGTTCCTTTTCTTACCGCTCACTCACCATAGCTTGCTCACCTGCTGCCTGAAGGCTCCCTTCAGAGTGCCCTGTGCATCCTGGAAATGCCGGCCTTGCCTGCCAGCACCACCTCTCTCTCACTTCTCCTGGGCTCCTCTGATGTCACAGCGTCACCATGGCAACGTTTCATGGTGCTCCCCCCCCCCCCCCCCAGTGCAGTGACTGTGAACGAGAGAAGCGGGAGCTGGCAGCTCCCCAGCCTGAGAGATCGCATTTGTGAGCCAGAATTGTTAATGATGGAGCGGAAAAGGGTCTATGTGGGGAAGGAAGCAGGCGGCCCCTGGATGGTGGTGCAGCGTTGCCATGGAGACACGTGGCTCGGACGCCGTCCCCTGGATGAGGCTGCCGCTTCCAGCCGTGGCCGGGCGTCTGCTCCACTGTGAAGTCAGGAAGCACAAGCCAGGTGGCTGGGGACCCTGACCCTGAGCCCCACCCGCGGGTGCGCTGGGAAGCAGCACAGACCCCTGTGCCGAGCGCAGGTGATTTACGGCATCGTGGTGCTTCCAGGGTGCAGCGAGGGGCGTCAGCCACACGCACACATATATCCACTCTTTCTAAGATTCGTTGCCCAACTAGGTCATTACGGAGTCCTGAGTATAGAGTTCCCTGTACTATATAGCAGGTCCTCACTCGTTAGCTGTTTCATATACAGTAGTGTCAATCCCAATATCCCAGTTTGTCCCCCACCCCGACCCTTTCCTGCCAGTAACTGTGTTTGTTTTCTACATCGGTGACTCCTGTTTTGTATGTAAGTTCACTTGTACCCCTCCTTCTTATTAGATTCCACATATACGAAATATCACAGGATGTTTGTCTTTCTGCACCTGACTGACTTCACTCAGTATGACAATCTCCAGGTCCATCCAAGAAACACATCCCCCTTCTCTGTCTGCAGTCTGACTCTGCATCCCTCCCAGGACTGGACCCTGCAGGGTGTGTCCTAGGACTGGCTGACCCTAGGCAGCGGTGACCACAGGGTTCATCCCTGTGGGAGCCAGTGTCAGAGGGGGTCCTCTGAACTCCCGGGGAGGGTCTGGTGATGGTTTCAGATCTGCTGTCCAGACAGGGTGTGGGGTGCGTCTGGTCAGTATCTTCCAGCCTCACAGTCTTTGGGCCACAGGCAGGCGCCCCGGGGCACAGCCTGTGGCGGTCGCGCCCCTCACCTGGCCCGTGTCTCCTCACAGGTGCACATCCTCATGGGCTCCTGTTACAAGACCAAAAAATTCCTGCTCTCCCTGGCGGAGAACAAGCTGGGACCGTGCATGCTCCTGGCGCTAAGGGGGAACCAGACCATGGTGGAGGTGAGGAGCTGGCCCCACGCCCTGGCCAGGCGGCCGACTCTCCCAGGCCTTCGTCCTTGCTGACGCAGCACCTTCCAGGAGCTTCCAGGCGCCCAGAGCTGCTGCAGGAGCTGGGCCCTCCCGAGCCTGGCGGGGCAGGAGGCCCTCGTCAGACTGTCTCGTTCATTTCACGTTCATTTAACTCGTGGTCGTCTGTCGGTCCCAGGGATTGGGCAGGTTTCTGTTCTGTCTGCCTTTTGCTGCAGAACAGACCGCCTCCAAGCGGGGGCTCCAGTGATGCTCATCTGTTTTGCTCCTGGGTCTTCAGATGGTTGGGCTCCACCCCATAGCTTCTCACTATGGTCTGTCATGGGGTGGGGCGGATGGGGGCGGGCGGGCTGAGTCTTCCTGAGGCTGCCTCCTCTGCATGTCCAGCGCCGTCCTGAGGGGACTCAGCCCACGGAGACGGAGCAGCTGGGGCTCCCAGGCCACTGTCTGCACTGCAGCCCTGGCCTAACCTGTCCACTTGCCAGCCCCGGGCACTCGGTCACCCCTCTGTTCCCCAGAGCCCCCAGCAGCCTGGGGCTCCCAGAGCCACTGCAGAGAGACCAGGCAGAAGCCACGTCTCTCCTCCGGCCTCTGCCTCAGGGTCAGGCAGAGTCACTTTCTAGCCACCAGAAGGGGGTCAGCAAGGCTAGACCCAGGGGCAAGGACAGGAGTTAGACTTCACCTGTTGGCGGGGAGGGTGTCAAGCAATTGGAAAGCCGAGGGGAGAGAGGGTGGTCTGTCTCTCAGGCTCCCCCAGGCCCCGGGCTTGGCCATATCATGCTGTGCGCTGTTGGCCAGGTGCTGCTGGGCGTGCCTATGACACGGAGGGGGCGTCGGGGCAGGCGATCCCCCAGCATCGTGCAGAGGGTGGGGGGAGGACAGGACTTCCGATTGCAGGGTGCCCTGACACTGGCCCTCCGCAGGCGCTTGGGGCTCTCGGGACAGGCTGAGGGTTGGGCACCCCCAGCCTTTGCCGAGCAGCCCTGCCCGGGGTCCCAGCCGGTGGTGACGCTCCTCCCGGTCTCGGCAGATCCTGTGCTTGATGCTGGAGTACAACATCATCGACAACAATGACACGCAGCTGCAGATCATCTCGACGCTGGAGAGCACGGGCGTGGGGAAGCGCATGTACGAGCAGCTGTGCGACCGGCAGCGGGAGCTGAAGGAGCTGGTGAGAGCGCGCGGCTCTGCCCCGGGACCCCCGCCCTGCCCCGCCCCATGGGCCTCTGCCTGCCTGGCTCCTCTAATGTCCCAGAACCCCATGGGCTGGCTGGGCTGACCGCCCCCTCTTCCTTCAGGGGCCTTCACGGTCTCAGTTCCCTGCTCTCCTGCTGGTGTTTCTTGGAATCACCTCTCTGATAAACCACCTGCACTTGGGCCTGGCCTCGGGGTCTGCCCTGAGACCAAGACCATCATGTTGTCTGCTGCTGCTGCCCTGAGAGGTGTTAGCTGGAGGTGGGGGTCCTGGGGGGACGCTCAGGGAAAAGTGGGTCCTAACCAGCTGGCTTCTCTTTGCAGCAAAGGAAAGGCGGGCCCACCAGGCTAACACTGCCCTCCAAGTCCACAGTGAGTTGGTTTCCTCCTGGGGGCTGGGTGGAGAAGGTGGGCTAGTCCTCCCTGGGGGGGAGCAGCAGACAGCCTGTCTTGGAGGTGATGGGGAGAGGGGGACAGGGACTCAGCCGTACTTGACAAGCCAGCTTTTCTAGGCTAGAACTGTGTTGCAGGAAACCAAAGGTGATAAAAGATTATTGTTAACATGTTACAAGTTATTCATAATGATGACAATAATAGCTCACATACATTGTGCATTCGTGTGCCAGATTCTGTGCTAATAGTTCATTTTATCTTGACACTAAGCCTATCAGGTCAGTGCCTCTTTCCCCATCTTATAAGGTCTTCAGGGATCTTAGTTCTTTCCTCCTACTGCCCCCCTGTCCTTGGCACGTAGCTTCCACTTCACAGTCCAAAAGAGCTGCTGAAGCTCCAGCCATCTCATGTCCATTCAAGCCATGAGCAAGAGGCAAAGAACACCCCCCTTCCCTTTATGGACCTTCCTGGACGTTCCAAAGGACACATCTGCTTATATACCATTGTCCGGGTTTAGTACATGGCCCCATCTAGCTAGGATGTTAGCCTTAATTCAGGGCAACCAGTTGGCAGCTAACACTCCAGGATTCTATCACAAAGATGGAAGGGACCCTCAGCGACCTCAGAATCTAATGCTCACATACTCACTGATCCCCACAGGCCTTAGTGTTGAGGGGACCTCAGTGTTTGCAGGCAGGGAATGGGCCCAAGCCTGGGAAAGAAAGAGGGTCAGACACACACGCACGCACACTGTGGGAGGGACGTGGCCTAGGAACCCCCAGTGGTGACTCAGGGTGTGACTCAGCGCTCCCAAGGCTTTCTCCAGCCAGATAGCTGCCACCTACAGAGACATGGAGGCAGCCCCGCCCTCCTGGACAACCCCCTGGGCCATGCTGTCCCCCCAGTTAGAGCTCTTCATGGGGAGGTGGTGGTGGGGAGGCCCCAGGCCTCCCCTGAGACCCCGCCTGCCCATTCACCCATCTGCAGGACGCTGACTTGGCTCGTTTGCTGAGCTCTGGCTCCTTCGGAAACCTGGAGAACCTCAGTTTGGCCTTCACCAACGTAACCAGTGCCTGCGCTGAGCACCTCATCAAACTGCCTTCTCTCAAGCAGCTAAACCTGTGGTCCACTCAGGTACGCATGGCCCGCCCGCTGTCCACCGCACCCTCCTCCGTGCCCGCCCTGCACCCCTGCCCCAGGCCTGCCCTGCACCATCCTCCACGGCCAGCTTTCTGCCCAGCACCCGTGGGTCCGGCCGCTTGATCCCCACGCCCCTCTGCAGCCCAGCACCTGTCCCCCAGGATCCCAGGCCAGAGGAGGACTAGGCCCCCGTGAAGCCCAGCGGCCTGTCACAGTTGGAGCTGCCAAGGCCCAGAGCAGGGAAGGGACATGCCAGGCAGAGCCTGGGGGAGCTGACGTGGGTCTCAGGCCCCCGCCTGGGGAGTTGCAGGTGGCCTGTGGGTCTCCTCCGGATGATGATGAATGCAGGGCACACGGCGCCCTCTGTCCTGCCCACACCAGTCTGACTCTTAAGCACTTAACTTACCAGCATGTGTGGTCTCCACGCCCCTGTGAGGTGCAGGCCCACTGACACCATCTCACAGCCGGGGCCCCCAGCTGCCCCCCATCCTGCTTGGGGAAGGGCCGTCTCGGCTCCCACTCAGAGCTGCAAGTCGCTGGGTTCATAGCCTCCCTTGACAGATGGCAACACCAACTCTGGTGGGGGAGCAGGGCCCTTATCGGGGCCATGGCCCCGGCAGACCCGGCCTGGTGTGAACCCAGGTCAGGGAAGTGGAGTCTCCGAAATGACTGAGGGCAGCCTGTGTCCAGCGGCATACAGGCCATGGGCCTCAGGCCTGGGCCAGGTCCCGTCCCCTTCCTCAGCTGCTGCCCCAGCCCTTGGTGCCTGGGGGAGGCCCAAGGCAGGCCCCAGACTGAGGGTGTCTCTCCCACAGTTCGGAGACGCCGGCCTGCGGCTCCTGTCGGAACACCTCACGATGCTCCAGGTGCTGAACCTGTGCGAGACGCCCGTCACCGACGCCGGCCTGCTGGCCCTCAGCTGTGAGTCCACACGCCCGTCCCCTCAGTCCTTTCTCCATTCCCACGGCACATGGGGCACCGCGTGCTCACCGAGTACCTCCTCTGGGCCAGGAGCAAAGCGGGGGGAATCTCCCTGCCCTCCTGGAGCTGATGTCGTTGAGGACAGAAACATGAGCGAAGCCCAGCCCACCCCCTCACATGGTCACAGCCCAGAGGGCCGTGGTCACAGCGGGGTCCCTTTGGGCTGGTCTGCAGTGGGCAGCAAGCTCTGGGGACACTGGGGTACAGGTGCCCCTGGCGGGGTCTCACTGAACTGATGACTGACTGTCCGTTCCCATACAGCCATGAAGAGTCTCTGCAGCTTAAACATGAACAGCACCAAGCTCTCGGCGGACACCTATGAAGACCTGAAGGTAATCCCTTCCCCGACTCCTTCCTGCCTTTGCACATGCAAAGGTCCTGAGGCAGAGAAGGGTCAGCATGCACTGGCTCTGCAGCAGGTGTGACTAAAGAACAAGAGAACAGATTGGGGCCAGACTGCGTCAGCCCTTACAGATCGCGGCAGTACCCTGGATTTTCATCTGAGTTCAGTAGAAAGCTTGCAGAGGCTCCGAGAAGGGCAGTGCATTATGCTAAAAGCTTGTTCTGGCTGTTAGGTGGCAAACGGGGTTTCTGAGGGAGAGTGCAAGCGGGGGTAGCGCCATAGAGCAGGTCTGTAGGACTGGAACAGTCACATGGGCGAGAGCTGGGACCGGCCTGCTGTGCTTGGCTGGCAACTTAAAACTGGGGAAAGACAGAGAACCTGAATGGTAGAAGGCAGACATGTTTGTTTGTTAAAAAAAAGCATGTCTCATCAGGGCCGGAGACTCCCAGGCCCAGCGCCCTGGGAAGGAAGGTCTGGGCCAGGAGACACAGTGCCGTGAGTGCACTGGCCCCTGGGCACCCTGGAAGCCCACCTCCAGCATGGCCCCTAGCCCCCCAGCTCAGTCAGACCCACAGCCCAGGGCTCACTCACTGGCCAAGCCTCCAGATGGCCTTCAGAGCGCCCACTGTGTGCCAGGCCCATGCTGAGAATGGGGGCAAGAAGGTGCAGCCAGTTTACCCCTACCCAGGAGAGAGCTCAGACCCAGCGGACAGACTCGCACAGCAAACTGAGGGAGGTCAGGGCTTGGGGGCCAGCAGGGAGGGGACCACCTACTCGGTTCATTGGGCTGAAGGAGCCTACACAGAAAGGAGGAGTTAGAAGTGCAGGAAGCTGGGGAGACAGGATCTAAAGGCAGGAGACCAGCAGCCTCTCTGTACAGCAAAGACTTGCAAAAATAAAAAAATGTCAACTGTTTATAAAAGAAGGCAGAGCAGGAGTACGTCTGGGCGGCAGGGGTGGGGAGCAGGAAGCCACTCTGAGGAGCTGCAGGTGGGACTGTATAGTCCAGTGACACATCCCGTAGGAGAGCCTGAGTGTGAAGGTTTTCTGCCGACCCCCAGGAACCTGCAACTTAGGGATCCTCCTTCATTCTCCTCGCCCAACTCCTGGCAGCCTTGAGGGCACATTATCATAGACAAGTGAGAACAGTCTGTGTGCTGAGCACGCAGCGTGGTCTCACACAGGGCGCTCTGGGTTTAGGCCCTCACCCCATCCTGTGAGCCACAACTGGACCTGGAGTCCCTCCACAGAGGAGGAATTCCGCTCTAGAGGCCCAGACTCTGCCCACGGGCACGTAGCCTGCAAATGACAGCGGAGGGCGCACACCCCAGGCTTCCTATCCCCAGAGCTAGTGATTTGAAGCCCCTCTGGGCTGTGGACGTGGACTCCCCAGCAGCCGTCACCTGCTATCCTGGGGCTGGCCACATCCCACCCGCTGGGTTCTCCCCAAGGTCCCCCAGTTCTGGGCTTCGGAGCCCCAGGCAGTGACAAAGTGGGGAGGGCTCAGTGGGAACGGTAGTCACTGGTACAGGTGGAGCTCTGTGCCACCAGGTTCTGGAAGAGACCAGATCCTTCTTGCTCCCCCAGGCCAAGCTGCCCAACCTGAAGGAGGTGGACGTCCGCTACACGGAAGCCTGGTGAAGCTCCCGTCGGCAGGAAGCAGTTTGCAACCGCAACTCACAACTCCTGACTAATAGCCGTAGAGCAGCGGGTCTCGGGGTCCCACCCCCGTCCTGGCTGTGAGATAGATGGGGGAGTCTTTCTGGGGGCAGAGGGCGGAGGGGGGAGGGGTGGNGTACAAACCAGTCAGCTGGTAGTGGTAGTATTCGTGTTATTTTTTTAAAGGAAACAAACAGACGGAAAAGAAAAAAAAAAAAGAACCTCCTTGGAAATTTAATTGCTTTTTTTGTAATGGATCCTGTCTGCTCATGCTCTCTTGTCCGTCCGTCTGTCCGTCCCCCTGCCCACCCCGCCACCGCCACCGTGCATTTCGATTCCAGAAGTCTCCAGCTTCCTCACAGGGTTGGGGGCAGACTGGGGGAGGAGAAGTGGGGTCCCCACGTTGTCGTCTTGCTCCTCTAAGGCCCCACCTTCCTCTCGGCCCCCTTTTACGCATCTGGAGGGGTGGGGTGCTAACCTGTCCCCCGTCCGTCCCGTAAGACAGCTGCCCCCACCCCCTCCCCTTGAGCACTCCCGTCTCTGGTGGCCTCGTCCCCCTCCCGACTGAGCCTCTGCCACCCGCGGCCTCCCCGCCGTCCTGTGCCTCCCGTGGTCCCCCATGCATGCCCGCCTCTCTGCATGGTCTCTTGGGAGAAGAGAGACGTCTCCTCCACCGGCCTGACTGCCCACCCCACCCCACGAACGTGACCACTGCAACGCAGACTCCCTCCCGCCCTTCTCCGCCCCCCCACCTGCCCCAAAGACATACCCACCTCCGTTTCTTTTATAAACAAGCCCTCACTGTACAGAACAGCCCTCATGGTTTACTTGGGGTCCCCTCTCCCCCAAGCCCCGTCTTCTGTTGGTTTAGCACAAATACTCCCCTCTTTCAGCACCTCCAGACCTAACCCCCAGTCAATGTAATTGTTTTATATATATTTAATCTTATTCAATGGAAACCATGCTTTTGTCGTTTTATACTTTGCTAGGTAGACTTTATTAGCCCCCCCCCAACTATGCCCTCATTTTTTTAAAAAAGGAAAAAAAAAAGAAATTGGGTTTCAGTCTTAATTCATTTTCTGTGCCAGGTTTGATTTCGTGCGTGCGTGTGAATGTGTTCTGTCTCGTGTTTTGTTTTTGTTGTTGTTGTTTTCTGTTGTTTGGTTTTATTCGCTCCCCTCTGGTCCCATACTTTACAGCACTCTGGTGCAGGAAGAAGCAGAAGCAAAAAAATAAAAAATCTAAAAAGAAAAAAAAAAGAAGAAGAGCCGAGACATGCCACCTTTTCCCTTCGCACTGTTGCTTTTCCTGATGGTTAATACTACTGTCACGTAGCTGTGTTCAGAGATGTGAAAAACTTTCAGGCAAAAATAAACTGTAAGTGACTCATTGACATCTGGCCTTTCTGTGTGGCTTTGAGGGGGCCTGGTGCGGGGACAGGAAGGGCCAAGACCTAGGCCAAGAGTTGGGGGGCTCACAGCAGAGCCTCTACACCCTCTCTAAGTGTCCTGGGCTCCTCACCCTGCACACTTGGGAGCCAGATCTTTGTTGTGGGGCCACCCCGGGCATCAAAGCCAGGCCCCCAACCCCCACCCACTGGATTCCAGGAGCACCCACCCCCACCCCAGCAGATAGAACAACCAAAAATGTCTCCAGAGGGTGCCCAGTGTCCCTGGGGGTCAGTCATCCCCAGGAGAGAGCCCGGCTGTCCACCTGTGCCGCAGGACCCCCAGGGAAGCTCTAGTCCAGTGAGGTGCCTGGGAAAATGCAGGGTCTGGGGTGGGGCCCCAGACCCTGCATTTCTGAGGAGCTCTAGGCGACATAGATGCTTCCACCCACCCTCCTCTGCCCCCTAATCCCCCTACACCATCTTCCAAGCCCTGAGGATGCTCTGCCTCGCTGCATACCTACTCTCACTTCCCGAGACCGTTTCAGCTGACCTGCGTGACGCCCTCTGGCTGATCAGGGAAGGCAGGTGCCCTGCGGCAGGCTCAGGACAGCCCAGACTGGCAGGGCCGACGGGCGCTTCGGGACCTCCGGTCCTCAGGCCAGATGGGCCGGGCGTCACGAAGGCCCGCTGCAGGCCGGGGTGCAGGGCCTCGAGGCACCTTAACCCGCCGCCTTCCCGCCCAACAGAGGCCCTGACTTAGCAGGTGCTCATCACCTGCCAGATGAAGCGGAGGACCCTGGCGGCGACCGACCTCAGCCCTCTGCGCTCCGCTGTCACCTCGGCTCCTCTGGCCCAGCGGGGAGAGTGCAGACTACCGGGCGGACGCAGGGCCAGCGGAGAGGGCGTTTCCTCCCCCGTGCTGTTCTGTCAGGAGCCGCCTCTTCCCTGAGATTTGATTCCAGCTGCCACAGAACAACCGCCACCTTCAGCCTAGGCCTGGCAGGAACTGCGGTAGTCCCAGCAGCCTCACTTGCCTCAACCCCGCCCACCCACGTGCCTCAGAGAGCTCTAGACCCCACCCATCCACATCCTCTCAGCTCTTGGCCCCGCCCACCCACGTGATTCACAGATCTTAGCCACGCCCACTCCACATGCCTCACACCCCCTGAACTGGAAAGCCCTCCACTTGCGGAAACTGAGTTACCCAGTGTCTTCCCCTTGCCCCGGTGTCTTCCCCTTGCCTCGCTGACCTACACGTGGAAGCAGCCCCTGCCGCAAGTTCCTGGACCTCAGCATCCCTTGTCAGGTCGCTAACTGTAGCCATGCCCCACACCCCCACCCCCAGGAGTTAGCCCATCCTCACACACTTCACAGCCCACCAGAGTGGGCCTTCTGTTTCATGCCAAGACCCTGCTTTCCTCCACCAACACACAAGCAACCCCTGCAGCTGATGTGAGCGCCCCACTGAGAGCCCAGTGGAGCCCTGGGCTCTTGACCTGGGTAGGGACGTTCGTCAGGAAATTTCAGGGAGAATCCTGAATTAGGGACATGGAGAAACACTCCAAAGAGAGTGGCTGTTGGATTAGTGGGAGCTGAACTCTTGTGGTCCACAGGCCAGCTTGATGCCCCGCTCACAGTGACTGCTCTAGAATGCGCTGTCTTCCAGTCATTTAGGGTGTGAATGGTACACCTTGGAGTCATGCCAAGTAGGAACCTGGTTGTTATTTGTGTCTGCCAGACTGCTCTAAAGTTAAGCTGTGCTAGAAGTTTCTCTGAAGGCCAGCAGGGAAGGGGATTAGAGAGCCTTGGAAAAGGGCTTGGTTTCGTTCATTCATTCATGCATTCAACCATTCTTTGTTGAACACCTGCTTCTAGGCGGTGCTAGCAGGTTCTAGACAACATGCTAGAAGAAGCAAGAAACATGGCTCTTGCCCTCCGGGGCCCCAGTGACCTGGAGCATGCTGGCAAGGAGTCAGGTAGCGTTGATATTGTGTGGCAATGGCAACAACAGGAAGCTCTGGCAAGCACAGAAGGTGATAGCTAACCCAAGCTTTGGAAGTCAGGAGGGCTTCCTGGAGGAGGTGGTATTGTTGACAGTGAAGAATGAGAATATATGTCAAATCATCAGAGAGGAAGGGGAGTGTGCAAAGATGTGGCAACAGACTGGAGCCAGATCTGTGTTGGGAACTGCAGATGGAGAGTGTGGTGGGCACAGGGGTGAGGGGGGATTCCAGAGGAGTTGTTATTGTTGGGGCTGAATTGTGTTCCTTAAAAAAGATGTCGAGGAGGAAGGGGACAAAAAAAAAGATATTGAAGTCCTAACCACCACCCCCCACTGCCCCCAGTACCTAAGAGTAGGACTGTATTTGGAAACAAGGTCTTCACAGAGTATTCAAGTTAAAATGACGTAATTAAGGTGGGCCCTAAGATCATGGCATCTGGTCCCATCACCTCATGGGAAATAGATGGGGAGACCGTGGAAACAGTGACAGACTTTATTTTTTTGGGCTCCAAAATCACTGCAGATGGTGACTGCAGCCATGAAATTAAAAGACGCTTACTCCTTGGAAGGAAAGTTATGACCAACCTAGATAGCATATTAAAAAGCGGAGACATTACTTTGCCAACAAAGGTCCATCTGGTCAAGGCTATGGTTTTTCCAGTGGTCATGTATGGATGTGAGAGTTGGACTGTGAAGAAAGCTGAGCACCGAAAAATTGATGCTTTTGAACTGTGGTTGGAGAAGGCTCTTGAGAGTCCCTTGGACTGCAAGGAGATCCAGCCAGTCCATCCTAAAGGAGCTCAGTCCTAGATGTTCATTGGAAGGACTGATGCTGAAGCTGAAACTCCAGAACTTGGCCACCTCATGGGAAGAGTTGACTCATTGGAAAAGACCCTGATGCTGGGAGGGATTGGGGGCAGGAGGAGAAGGGGACGACAGAGGATGAGATGGCTGGATGGCATCACCAACTCGATGGGCATGAGTTTGAGTAGACTCCGGGAGTTTGTGATGGACAGGGAGGCCTGGTGTGCTGCAATTCATGGGGTCGCAAAGGGTCAGACACGACTGAGCCACTGAACTGAACTGAACTGAATCCAATATGACTGGTGTCCCTGTAGAAAGGGGAAGTTTGGACCCAAAAGCAGACATGCACAGCGGGAAATCTACCGGACGAGACCGGCACACAGGGAGAAGGCCATGTGAGGATGAGGGCGGAGACGGTCCTGAGGCCTCTTCCACAGCAAAGATGGTCAATAACCCCCCAGAGGCTGGGAAGAGAGGCCTGCAGCAGACCCTGCCTCACAGCCCCAGCCGACACCTTGAATTCGGTGTTCTGTGAGAGAACCGTGAGAGAATACGCCTCTGTTATTTTAAGTGTCCCCCCCACCCCCAGTCCATGCTGCCTTCTCACAGCGGCCCTAAGACAGAGTACATCTCTTCCTGGGCCACCACACAGAGTACCCCAAACCCAGTGGTTGAAAATCCAGAGAGATATTCTCTTGTTTCTGGAGACCAGAAGTCCAAGATCAAGATGTCAGAAGGGGGCTTCCTTTCCTTCTCTTCCAGCTTCTGGAGCCCCCCACGCTCCTGGCTGGCCGTTGCATCATGTCCATCTCTGCCTCTGTCTCATGTGGCCCCCACTCTTCTCCACCTCACTCCTCCCTCTGCCTTTCTCCTTCAGGGACATTTGACGTTGGATTTAGTGCCCACCTGGATAATCCAGGGCTTCCCTCATAGCTCAGA